ACTATAAACCTCAGCTGAAATGTGGCTCAAGTGGTAGAATGCCTGCCTAGCAAGCGTGACATCCTGAGTTCAAACCCTGGTACCACCAAAACAAAACAAAATAAAACAAAAAAAAACCCCAAAAACGTAAAATCCAAAAAAGGCTAAATAGTGGAAATTCGAAGGACCTTTAATAAAGGGATAATCTTGGAGAACCAATCTATAAAATATTAAAATTAAGTATAAATCTACAATAATTTATACAGTGTTATATTGGCTTATGGATGCCCAAATGCATAAATAAGTCAAGTTGCAGTCAATAATGAGCTACTTGGTAGAAATTTGGACTCAAAGAAGAGAAAATTTACTCCTTTTTAAGAAGCATATGAAAAAGTAGGCTTTTAGGCTAAATATTGGTTTTACAGAAACAGAAAAAAATTATAAAGTGGAATCATTAATAATAAAAGAAGTTGAATCTAATGCAGACCTAAAAAAATTTTTTTTGAGACAAGGTCTGGCTATACTTGAACTCAAGATTCTTCTCATTCTGCATCTCAAGTGCTGAGATTACAGGCCACTAGGCCCAGCTCTGACCTAAAAAGTTTACATGTATCTTTAGAAAGTAAAAATTGTTTAATTATTTAAGATAGGATAAAAGGAAACTAAATTTTAGATGAAGATAGGGGACAGGTAAAATTTCAAAATGTATACCAGATTACAAAACTGAATTGTATATTTTTATAGCATAATAAAATTAAACAATAAACATAGACTCATAGAACTGAAGGGATTAAAAGAAATCAATAAGTCGATCTAATGCAATACTAAATATGTCTTTGTGTCCCCTTTTATGGGACCCTCTGCTTGCAAGTAGACTTTGGTTTTGGAGACTAATAGAGGTTTAAGGTGCTAAATTAGCTTGGATGAGATCCCAAGATCCTGGAAATGGCAGGAATCCCACTTTTCAAGAAGTGGAGGAAGGCACTGAACATACTTCCTGCTGCCCTAAAAAGTTTTCTTTTAATGTAAAATTTTAACCCAAGGGGTTGGATGTCATTGTCCCATGGTTCCTGACCATGTAATATCCTTTCCCACTGCTTGATCCAAATTCTTTCTTTGGCCTCTGCTTGACTTCCCCCTTTCTTTGAAGGCACTCGTTGCTCAATATCCAAGAGAGCACTCATTTCTTCTGGACTTCCACTTCCTTGGCTCTTCGCTCATATCATTCTGATAACATTTCTCATTAGCATATCACCTGGGGAGAGCCCTAACTGGATTGTACTCTCAAACAGGGAGACTCTGACTCTTTCATTTCTATTAGTGAGTAAGGACTTGGTGATGAGAAAAGTTTTATAGAATCTAAGACAGCTAATGGCCAGGCAGTGGGCTGGCACTATGGACATGTGTCCATCATGTTTCTTGAGCTCGTGATGTACTGAAACCCCAAGCCTTGCTCATCAGAACTCAGTTATAACTCACTCTTCCCTTCAACTCTAACTTCCCCTTTCATGACCACAGGATTTTACATTTTCCCTCTAATGCATCCCATGTCCGTTCTTAACTCCATCTCCTGGTGTATTCCTTTGACTTCTGGTGCCATCTTAGAGTTAGGAACCTTCTCTGTGTTTTTAATGTAGAAAGACTATGTTGATTAAATGGGTCAGAGAGGAGACTGGTAATGATATCAAGAAAGTGACATCAACAGCTATCACTCTCCAGGTAAAATACTAACCTCACATGAGCACCCCTGTTTCTCCTCATTTTTAACCATGAGTGTTTAAAATAATAAGTTTGATTAAGAAAGTTTATATTTTAATCTCTAAGAAGCCAGAGAACTACAAATGGGAAGGTTATGGGAGCTATCTCCCAATTTTTTTGTGTATTTTTCAAATTCTTTATAATGAACACATATTCCTTTTGCAATCAGTGAAGAACACAATTTTAAAGCAATATAGTGTGCAAAACCTCTTGAAATTCTATGGAAAATATGTTTTACAATGAAATTGAAGGCATGTAAAAAGTATGGACTGCTGAAGTCATCATCGAATATGCTGCTATATGGAAAAAGAAGAAAACACTCTCAAATTACAGCGCTGATGGGAGAGCGGTGAGGAGTGGAAAGATAACTCCTATTTATCCTTCTACGTGAAACCACATGACAAGAAGAGAAGGCAGACTCTCAAAGTGATTTGAGTGATTCCATCAGAGCAAATGAATTTGCTAGAAAGATTCAGGCAGGCTATGTAAATCGCAGAAAGAGCAAGAACATGGAAAGAGGCATGTCTTTGAAACAAAACTGGAGAAAAACCATTTTAGTTACCTTTTGCAATAGTTCTATGTTGCAAGATAGGAGTCTTAGAGTCCACAGATATGAAAGGAAGCAGCACCATTTGGCAAGAGTCAGGAAATATTTGTTACCAAAACAGATATCACTCACTTAGTGTAACCATAATTCCAGGCAGGAGAATGTGATACAGCAAGACTGTAGTGCAACTCCAGTTTTCCCCAGGACTACTCCTGAGACTGCCCCATGTCTCCTGGTTTCTCATCCCTGATGACATTTGGAGTAGCTCTTATAATTTCATAACTCTTCTGGTCACTTTTAGATCATAAAACGCTATTTAGTCTTTTTGTTTTCTTTGGTGGCGCTGGGGACAGAACCCAGGGTCTTGCACATGCTAGACAGTGCTTTCCCACTGAGCTACAACCCCAGCTCTCTCTAGTCATTTTTAAGTCCTTAAAGATTCTCATTTTAGTACTGAAATGCCTGGCCCATGTTATGATAAGACGTGAGTTTAGAGGGTCTCTCCTCCCCAAGTCAGCTCTGCCATGGTTGACAAATGTATTCTCTGCCTCAGTGCCTCTCCTTCCCCAGCCCACCTTGCAGCCCAGCATCTGTTCCCTCCCCCCAATAGTGCCATTAAAACTATGGGCTAAAGTGAAGCCTATTTCTAATTCCTCCTTCCTAGGCTAGTATCTGAACAGCTTTGAAAAACATCCCTGAGGGGCTGGCAGAGTGACCCAAGCAGTAAAGTGCCTGCCTAGCCAGTGTGATGCCCCGAGTTCAAGACCCAGTACCACTAAAAAAAACCAAACTAAACCAAACCAAACCAAAAAACATCCCTGAGGAAGAACAAGTCTCCCATGCGGTAATACCCAGGAATTTACATTTGGTAGGGAGGAGCAGGACGTCCAGGTAGCAGGGTCCTGTGACTTGGACTGAGATGGGCTTTGCTAAGTTCTTCACTAACCCCCCACCCCCCCACCAATGTGATTTAACAGGGCCTGGACAACGTGACCTGGAGAGCTCACCATTTCTCTTAGGGGTTCCTTAGAGCCTTAGTACCTTAGAGTTCCTTAGGATCAGACTTAAGATCACAAGAACCTGCTTCTGCAGGTCACCATTTCACGTGAGTGAGATCTTTCAATGACTTTTGAAACCTCTGTTTGTGTCCACAAACCCATCAAGAAAACCTGTTAGTTCATTATGTGTGGGACACAGCTTCCCATTCTGGGGCCATGGATCCCTGTGAAACCACATACGCCAGTTCCCGTAACCAGTGGTTACGAAAGGACACCTTCTGTCCTTGGTGGGTCCTCAAAACTTTGCTTGATCTTAAAAAGGGATGTTGGTATTTGAAATCACTGATTTGGACTGAGTTTGAGATTAGAGTTTCATTAAATCACAGGAATGATGTTTGAAATCCACATTCCTAGGCCCCACCCCCAACAAGCATCAGGTCTTGAGTTCTGAAAAATCCATGATGAGTGTAATGTCCATACATCAGTGTGCTTGCCTGGCAACTCATGTGAAAAGCCAAGAGGGAGAATGCTCCATCAGAAGCTGGAGCGACTCTTAGGAAATGAGAGATACCCCAGCCATGTATAAGGAAGTCCTAACAGGGATGGCTTCTTCCCGAATGGCTCACGGGCTAGATACTCAAAACTGGATGTGGTTGGTGGTGGTACGGGAGGTAAGGCTGGAGTTACCCTTATAGTGTGTGTATGTGTTTTGGGGGAAGACAAGCAGGTTAAATGTACCGTACTGACCACAGACTCTGTGAGTACCTATAGTGTGCTGGACCCTATGGAGTAAGAAGGGGAACACAGAGGACTGGCTAATGATTGAGGTCGACCAGGAAGGTTTCCAAAAGAAGGGACCCCCCCCCAAGCTGTGTCTTAGAACTAGAATTTATCTTTGGAATCAGCTGCACTCCCAGGTAGGGAAGAATATGGGGTGGGGGAGCAACAAATTTAAGGGAGGTGGAATCTAGAAGGGGCAGTCAGAAAATAGGGAGGAAAACTAGAATTAGAGTCACAAAGCCCAGTGCAAGGAACATTTTCAGGACAGAGTAGCCCTTGGTGTCCAACAGAGGTAAATGAAACACTGTTCATGGCATTTGGTGATCAACCAGAGGCACCTTCTGCAGAGTTCTGGAGGAGGAGGCAGGACTGCAGGGCCACCGAGTCTGAGATTGGAACGGAGGGCTGGGGATGGAGGCAAGGACCTCAGAGGACTGAGGGAGGATAGGGAGGATAGAAAGGAGGCTGGGAGAACAGGAGGAGACAGAGAGGATGGGAGGGAGGAACTCATAGGTCAGAGGAGTCAATGTGCTCTCTGGGAGACCAGGAGTGTAAGCCACAGGCACTAGAAGTAGGCAGAAATTTGGTTCCTGGACTCCAGAAGGAATTGTTCTGGCCTTCGTTTGCAATGAATGTGCAATGTCTTCTGAAATTATAAGTGTAGTTTATTTCTCTGAATAAGTTTGATTGCAGTGGTACATAGGGGATATAAATTAACTGTAAGAGTGACATTGATAGGGAAAAATACTGCCTGGGGCATTTGTCAAAAATATGCACATTTTGGAGGACAGAGACTGTGAGACAGGCTGTTCAGCAGGCTAGCCAGCCTGCTCTGCTAACTCCATCAGCTCCTCCAGCCCCGCCCACAGGGGCGTGGCCACCAGACACCCCGCCCAGCTCGCGGTCACGTGACCTGTCAGTGCCTCCTCAGGAGGAAAATGGCCGCTGGGTGTGGTGAAGGCGACGCACTTGAAGCCGCGGTCTCTTTTCTCGTCTTCTGACACCGCCTGCGGCCCAGCGGGCTGGTTCATGCTGAGCTGGGGGCGCAGACTTCGGCCAGGTTGTGGGAAGGTGAGTGTGGAGGTGGCCGGCGGGGGGTCACAGGGAGGTGGAGAGGCGAGGTCGGTGAGGAGGGCACCTGAGCCGGGGAGGGGGCGGGGAGGGTCTCCGAGGGAGCCGGGATCGGGGTGGGGGGGTGGGGGGGAGGGAAGAGGTGGAGGTCTGCCGGGGAGGGGTCGAGGGGGGGCGGGAGGGTCTCCGAGGGAGCCGGGATCGGGGTGGGGGGCGGGGGGGAGAGGTGGAGGTCTGCCGGGGAGGGGTCGAGGGGGGCGGGGAGGGTCTCCGAGGGAGCCGGGATCGGGTGGGGGGCGGGGGGGAGGGAAGAGGTGGAGGTCTGCCGGGGAGGGGTCGAGGGGGGCGGGGAGGGTCTCCGAGGGAGCCTGGGTCGGGGGTGGGGGGTGGGGGGGAGGGAAGAGGTGGAGGTCTGCCGGGGAGGGGTCGAGGGGGGGCGGGGAGGGTCTCCGAGGGAGCCTGGGTCGGGGGGTGGGGGGGGGGGAGGGAAGAGGTGGAGGTCTGCCGGGGAGGGGTCGAGGGGGGGCGGGGAGGGTCTCCGAGGGAGCCGGGATCGGGGTGGGGGCGGGGAGGAGGGAAGAGGTGGAGGTCGGCCGGGGAGGGGTCGAGGGGGGGCGGGGAGGGTCTCCGAGGGAGCCGGGATCGGGGTGGGGGGCGGGGAGGAGGGAAGAGGTGGAGGTCGGCCGGGGAGGGGTCGAGGGGGGCGGGGAGGGTCTCCGAGGGAGCCGGGGCCGGGAGGGCGGGCGGGGGGGGGAGGGAAGAGGTGGAGGTCGGCCGGGGAGGGGTCGAGGGGGGGCGGGGAGGAGGAGGGGGACAGGTGGCGCCGCCTGGGGTCTCTGCGAAGGCGGGCGGCGAGCCGAGAGGGCCAGGGCGGGGGAGGGGAGAGGGGTCCGAGTCCGAGTCCCCGCGGGCCGGACCCGGGGAAGCGCGGGTGTCCCTGGGGGTCAGTGCCCCGGGGCGGGGTGAAGGATGTTAGGGAAACAGTCCTTTTCTTTTGCCAAGCCCGCCTCCTCCACCCTCGTTTAGCAGTGTCGCTGAGGCCGGCGGCGGCTGGGTTCCTTCCCCGGGGCTTCCCTGGGCCAGGTAGCGCTGTTTTCTCCTTTGCTTTTATGTTGGGCTCCATTGTCATATGCAGGCTTTTTTTTTTTTAATGTCTTACAAAATACCAGCAAGCTCTTGATCACAATGCTTCCGAATTTCTTTGTCAGTCATCAAAGTTGGAATTTTATTTTTCCTAGGCGTTTTGACCTAGAGAAAGGTTTAAGCCAGTGAAGAACATTTTTTTCCTGATTGTTTATGGAGCCATCTCTGCCCCCTAGAGGTGTTGTTAATAATGCAGCTTTCTTAGCCTTTCAGTGATCCCCAATTTTTTTTTGTCCTTGGGTGTGGCCCAGGAAACACCTCTTGGGGTGATTTTACTATGTATGTGTTTGCCTACATTTTGACAACGGGGAGGGCCACCCATATACATTTTTCATTTTAAAAGACGATATCTGCCTTTTAAAAAAGCAGGCTTAGGTCTGATGTAGAGCCAAGGTTGAAAGTGGGAAGGTGTGTTCTTTGTTCTCCAGCTTTACCACTATGAACTGTTTTATCAGAATTATTTAGGTGTGCATGTTAAAATGATCAGTTTCTGGGCCCCACCACGTATCTATGAAATGGGATTCTCTGGGGGAAGAGTGTACAGTATTTGAGAAGTTTTCCAAATAATTTTGATGCACCCAGTTTGAGAATCCTCTCTTGCGCTGTGTGAGTGTAAGACTCCTTGGACTCTCATGATACTCAGATTTTCATTTCTCCATCTCGGCTTTTTTGGAGCATGTCACCTTCAGCCTGCCCAGAGCACCATGTATCCAGTCCAAGTGGTGGGGAGAGACCAGGTGTAACACACAGAGAAACAGCTCATCTTCTTTATCTTCTTTCTGGCTTTCCCCCCACTCCTTTTTTTTTTTTTTTTTTTTTTTCCATAGCAACACAACCCTCCAGTCACATGCACGTGGCCTGTAGTTGTCATCTTTCACCTGTCGTTTTTCTTCTGCAGTCAGTCAGATGGTTTCTTTTATTTATTTTTCATCCAGAATATCTCCTCTGGATATTTTGGTGGGTCTAAATTAAGCTCATATAGGCCAGATGTGGTGACTCACACTTGTTCCAACTGGCTACTTACTGGAGAGAAGGCGATAGGAAGAATCAAGGTTCCAGATTAGCCTGGGCAAAAAGTTAGCGAGACCACACCCTCCCCCCTTCAACTAAAAAAACTGGGCATGGTGGCATGTGCTTGTCATCTCAGCTATAGGGGGGAAGTTGTAAATAGAAGGATGGTGGTCTAGCCAGCCCTGGCAAAAATGCAGAATAATTAAAGCCAAAAGGCTAGGGTATGGCTCAAATAGCTGAGCACCTGAACTAGCTGAGCAAGCATGAGGCCCTTAGTTGAAAGCCCAGTACCACCAAAAAACAAAAACAAAAACCTCAGACCCTGGGGATTTTATATTGTTGAAGTGAATATCTTCCATTTCTTCTCCATTTCCCCTTCCTGATTCATCTCTGTGGGCTGTTTTGTTGGATCCCTGACTGCTGTCTATAGTTTTGATTCCTTCTTTGTGTTTTTCCAGTCTGAATTGCATATGCATGCACTGCTAGGAGATTAATTTTTCTAGGATTATGTATGAGTATGCCAACCCCCCTTTCCTGCTTTTACTCAAGAACTGTCATGTCTATATGAGCTCTTCTAGGAGGGCTGTTTAGAAGGCAAACAGCCTGAGGGAAAAGGAGATTTACCAGACTGAATGAGAAGTCAAGATCCCAGATAGCTCTGTGTTCTGCATGTCTCTCAGAGACCACGTTTGTTCTCTTACTTAAGAAGAGTCTTTTTTTCTGTTGATATCTGTTCAGCTTTCTCTCTCTCTGCTGACTGAATGCCTCAAAACTATTCTTTTGCCCATGCCACAGTCATTGGGGTTTAATTCCAGTTCTAGATTGGCCCAGCTTATCTTTTTGAGCATCACATGTACAGATTGTGTGCCCATTCCTGGTTGTAGTTGATTATGGAGAGCATGGCTGTTGAGGTAGCAGGAGCTGCCCATGGGCAAAGTCCTTCTGAAGAGGCATCCTTTGTATACCTGTGCAGTTACTCAATTTCACAATTCTCTATTAACTTTTTATTTGTTCTAGGCTTGTAATATGTTCTGGGGACATAAGAACAAAGGACAGAGACAGCCCTTTTTCTTGAAGAGATTACAGATGTAAACCACCATGACTTTCTAGCTGTAACTATCATTTCATACTTAAACACCCCACTTGTGTATCATTTCCTGGGCATACAATACATAGCCATTCAGTCGACACTCTTCTTCTTCTTCTTTTTTTTCTTTTCCTTCAGTACTAAGATTTGAACACAGGGCTTCACACTTACTAGACAAGTGTTCTGCCACTTTAGCCACAGCTCAAAGTCCGTCTTTTTTTTGTGGGTGGGCCTGGAGTTTGAACTAAGGACTTCACACTTGCAAAGCAGGTGTTCCACTGCTTAAGGCCCACCTCCAGCCCTCAACACTCTCTTCATCTGTTTTCTAGATGTTTCTTTTGCTTGGTGTGCCCTTTGTTCATTTTCCACCCTTTTGAACTTCTACATAGTTTTCAACAATCTGCATAAAATGATGTCCCAGCTGAAGAAGTAACTTCTCTTCAGAAGTCTCATAGCACTTTGATTCTGCCTTGAATTATAGCTTGGATTTAACTCGTTGTTTGGACATTTGCCTTTCAAATTGTGCTAGGATGCATATTTTGTTATCTGTAAAAAGAAAAATATTTGCTCTGCAACATTGGAAAATTAAATAAAAGCATAGATATACTAAAAGCATCTCATAAACTAAAGTGATATGAAAATATTTGTCTTTTTTTTTTTCTCAGTCCTGGGGTTAAGACTTAGGGCTTCATGCTTGCTAAGCAGGCAGCCAACCACTTGAGCCACGCTTCCAGCCCTTTTTGCTCTGGGTATTTTGGAGATGGGGTTTCACTTTTTGCCCAGTCCAGCCTAGACTGCAATGCTCCTACTTTATGTTTCCCCGCCACTGGGATGACAGGTGTGCACCATCACACCTAGCTTTTTTCCGTGGAGAACTCTTTTTGCCCAGGCTGGCCTCAGACTGTTATCCTACCTATCTCAGCCCTCCCAAGTAGCTAGGATTACAGACACGAGCCGCTGGCGTCTGGCTTATAAATGCTATTTTCATGAAGATCTCATGTCTTCTGGTGAACTGCAAGCTCGTTGAGGGCATGATAGTAATTCACCAGCAGGCTAGCTTGGGTCTCCCACATAATGGTGCCCAATACATATTTGCAGAAGCCCTCTGGGCTTCCTCATTCACCTAAGGTGTGCTGACATCCTCCAGACCATGTGTGGGGAAGTGGTGGAGGCAGCCATAGAGGAAGAATGAATGTAGACACTGTCAGAATTCAAAGCATATAATGTTTGATGGTAGCAAAGTGTTTTCCCCAAATACAGAAAGTAGAGAATTATGTAATGAACCCTTATGTACCCATCCCTAGCTCTAACAATTATTGATATTTTAACAATCTATTTCAGATATTTTCTTCTTCCCCCATTACCTCCCATCTGCCCTCAGTCCTTTTCAGAGAACCATATCTCCATAGGGCAGGAATTTTGTCTTATTCAACTTTCATTCATAGCCTGCAAACTGTAGTTCCCAATGAACTGTTACTGGCTTACATTGTAGAATTATATGCATTTTCATGTAATTATATGATAAAAATAGATCACCTTTCCTTAAGATACAAGTTCTCAATGTTTTTTGAGTAGTTAAGGCAAAACAGCTTCAATTTATGTTTTTCAAAACTTTAAAAAAAAAACATTTTCTGCTTAATCTTAATCTGAAGCAAGGATAAGAGTGAAAACCTTTTTATGTTTTAACTATTTAAAGCTGACACATATACAGTCCACATAATAATGGATGATTTTTATCTTTATTTTTTTTTGGCAGTAGTGGGGTTTGAACTTACCTTGTGCTTGCTAGATAGGCATTCTACCACTTGCACCATGCCCCGACGCTTTTTTGTCTTAGTTGTTTTTTAAAGTGGGTCTCCCATTTATTCCTGGGCCAGCCTGGATGGAGAGCTCCCTTTTGATGCTTTCTTCATAGCTGGGGTGACAGGCCACAAGCTACCACCCTTAGCTTTTATTGGTTCAGGTGGGTCTCCAGAACTTTTTGCTGGGACTGGCCTCAAACCATATCCTCCTGATCTCCATCTCCTGAATAGCTAGGATTACATGTATAAGGTGTTGCATCTGGCCTTCAGTCTTTGTTTTCCTTTGTGGTAGAACTTAATGTCTGCAGCTTCTTTCTTTACTGTGCTTATTCCATTTTGTGTGATATTGTGGCAATAAAGCATGTTTGATACAACTAAGGGTTTGTCAGACATTTGTGTGTTTTGAAATTTTATTTTAAAATAATTTCTACTTTTCAGAAGACTTGTAAGAATACTACAAAAGAATTCTTACTCCTTACTCATTTAGGTTGCTTATTTTGCCCAGTTAATACTATAGCCATTTCTTGATGAATGCCAAGCCCTCACTTAGTTCCTTAGGATGAAAAGATGAAGAAGATGTGATTCTGTTTGCAAGGATTTTGGAGTAGGTTAATGCTTGTGCTACATTATTTTAAGTGTAAACCTAAAAGCATGCATGAAGTATAGGTGTACAGATTACATTGACCAGGGCGTGGTGATTGGGGACTGAAGAGGGAAAAGGAAGAGGAGATCCCAGAGTGATGACCCTGGAGAAGAGTTGAAAGATGCGTTTGGTTGATTGCGAGTGTTAATACTGGGTCAGGTGTTCCAGGTAGTTGGAGCAGCATGAGCACACTCGTGATTCCACAGATACTGGGTTCTGCTGTCTGCCAGGCGCTTCCTTACCTGCTGGAGGATGAGTGGCGAACAGAGATAGTCCCCATTCTCATTGAGCTACATTTGTTAGAATTGTGGAGGGGAACAGACACTAAAAGTAAATAGCATGTGAAGTCATGTTGAGCACTATCTAGAAGAGTAAAATAAAGCAGGGTCATGGGGAATGATAGTAGCAGGGGTGATGGCTGTTTGTACACATTGGTCAGGGAAGTGCTGATCAGGTGACATTTAAATAGAAGTTCAGTGTGGCCTGAGCGGGTGAAGCAGAGAATTCTAAACATGGACTCAGGGAGGTGGAGAAGGAAAGGGGTGGAACAGATCAAACAGAGCCTTGTAGGCCTTGGAAGGATTTGGGCTTTTATTTTGAGTGGGAGTACAACTGTTGGGGGTTTTTTGAGCAGATTGGCCATAGGAAGACTTAGAATTTAGGAAGATCACTGTATCTTTTGTATAGAGGTGGTGAGTATTGCTACCCAGGCCTGGAAGGTTAGTATCCTTGCAGGACAGGGCCACTACATTTGGATTATTGTTGTTGGAGACTAAACAGAGAGGCTGGAGATAGTAGGACCATGGAAGAGGCCATTCAGGAATGTATTGTGTCATATCTGGAGGATACAAAGTCAGGATTGTTTGTCAACTTGGTCACTATTGTTGCTTTGGTGTAGTTTGTAATGGGGGAAAGTTACAAATGCATCATAATCTTTGGCCCTTTCAAAAAGGAATTTTGAATATATAGTAGACCCTTGGTATGCATGAGTATATGCTTTCAAGATGAGCGCCTTTGAGGAAAATCACGAATGCTCAGGATGCATAGAGTTCAGTGCTGTGCTGCAGATGTTTGATTTATCTTTCCCACAAAGCAGCTGACTTCTCCTAAAGATGGGGTTCCTTTCAAAAAGTCTCAGATTTTCACTCTCACTTAATCACATTCACTGTTAGCGTGTTTTTTGGGCTATTTGCTTTTGGGGAGGTGTATTTTCACAAAATTAAAGGCAGAGAAATGCTCATCAGATCACACATTGATTTAAACACAACTGATGATAACACAGTACTGACTGAGAGCTTGTCCATTCAACTGAGCTGTGTAATATATGTGTCTGATTTAAAATTTTTGTTATTGAACTTTCATTTTATTTATCATGCTTGGTCAAAATCACATGTGATGAGTTTGTGAATAAGGCGGGTTTACCGTACCAAAAATTTGGTAACCTGCTAAATTTGTTTGCAGGTTCCAAAAATGAGCTTATTATAACATAAAGATGTTTTTCTAGCATTGCTATCTGCCATATCTGCCATTAAAAGTATGTCAGGAAATGTTTGTTGTTGTTGTTGTTTCAGTTACTTGATGTTTCCAAATATAAAAAGAAAGTCAAGAGTCTTAGACCGGTTAGAATCAGACCATCTCAAATGAGACCTTCCCTTCCTCCCTCCACTCCTTCAGTTTCTCCCAGCTCTGGTGTAGCATATGTTTTCAGAAGGTCACTGTGAGTGCATTGTGGGTACCTGGTAGGGGAGGTGAGTGGAGGCAGAGACACCAGTTGGGAAGCTACGATCCATCCAAGTGAGAAGTCAGGGTGGAAGTAATGGAGACAGGGAACAGTTACAGATAGAGCCAGAAGAATGTGTTATGGATTGAAGGTAGGGTATGAGAAGAAGAGTTAAGTCATGGTTAAGTCAAGGTTTTGGGCCTTGGAAGAAAGGCGCTGGAGTTGCCATGGGCTGAGATGGAGACAGCAAGAGGAGGAGCAAGGGAGCATTGCTTTGTATTTGGGGTGGTGATGATGAAGGCTTGGGGATGGATCTGAAGTTTGGGGGTTGGGTGAATGTGAGTCTTGGGAAATGACATTTTGTCAGCATTTTGACAACTGAGCAGTGGGACTTTGTTTTTAGTTCTACCATTGGAGGAATACTGGCACAAGTTTAGGGTTAAAATTGGTAATATGTTTAATAGTAACTTAGTTTATTTCTAACCACAAATTATGTATGTTTTGTCTAAATTACTTTAAATAGGTGAAATAAAGATAACTACAGCTTTCTGTGAAAATGTCAGTTCTGATATCACAGAGTGTTATAAATTATGTGGAAGAAGAAAATATTCCTGCTCTGAAAGCTCTCCTTGAAAAATGCAAAGATGTTGATGAGAGAAATGAGGTAAGGCTCAGTTTCTAAGATTAAATTCTTTCACATGTATTTGTTGCTTCTGTGTGCCAGGCACTGTACTAAGGATGAAGGTGAGTAAGAAGTAGGTGATTCTTAGGAGTGGGTGTGGTTGTGAACATCTGTTATCTCAGCTAGTTGAGATTTACATTTTTTTAAAATCTTATTTCGTGGAACATCTGTCTGTGTGAATTGAAGTATATCTGTCTTCTGAAAGTAAACAGGAAACTCCTTTGAGTCTTTGGAATTACTGTTGTAAAAACTATTTTGTAAAATTCATACACCTTCAGCATCTTGGATTCAGTTTCTTGGCTTTAATTTCTGTATTGTACCAATGGCTTTTATATCTCACTGTTTATCCCAGTAGATTAGAGGGAGAGGAGATGCTGCAGAAAGCATGCCAAAATATTTAGAGCTGACAGAGGCATTTTTGGTGTGGTAAATACATCTGTAGTTATGACTCAGAATCATAAACATAATGTTTAAGGTGATCTGTTTAACAAGTAGCAATTGTGCATTGCTGTTTAGATAGTGATTATCAAATTTAATGTTCAAAACGTAGAGTTTTTCACCTGGAAAATCTGTTTATGTATAATATCTCATTCCCTAATGAGTGACATAGCTACCACATACAATTTAGTATCCATCATTATGTAAGAATGTCTATGTTTAATGTGATTTATTTTTGTACTTTGTTTAAACCAGTACTATGTTTAAACTCTTTACTTGGCTTATACCTATAATAACCTTTGTGGTATTTTGCCAGTGATGATAATTATTTGCTTGTTTGTGTTTTGGTCCCAACAGCTTTTTAAATTCTTTGAATTTTGCGCACTCATTTGATGAACAAACATTTGGGTGGCAATAACTGTCCCTCATATTCCATGTACAACACTAACTCATAAACAAAACAGACATGTTTGTCATTCTCATAGAGTTCAGAGTCTTTAGGGGAGACACACACAAATTAGTTGTTAATCATGCAAACAAAAATGTAATTACAAATGAGAATTAGTGTAGTAAAGTGGAATTCCAGGAGGTCAGTAAGGAGGTGTGAAAGTGCACGAGGGCATGTGGGAATGCATATTTCTCTGTTGTGGCTCTGTAAGCCATGGTAGGGGTTTCAATTCTTATTCAGAAGATTAGTGGGAAAATATTGAAGGCTTTTGAAGCAAAGGAATGATCGCAAATAGCATATTTTAAAAATCACAGATACTCTCTTCTACCATGATACACATAGTGAGTAGGTGTGTATTTGTGTAATTGAACTTAACTTTTGGTGTAAAATTTTCTATTCCTTTGTGCTTGGTGTGTTTAAATACTTTCAGTATTAATGGTTTAACTGTTTGTTTTAACCTGGTGCTTCCAAGTCTGTTTCAGGCTCTTGCACTTAGAGAAAGTGATAATGTTTGTACTTCTTATAGCAGAGGAGGTTTGCTGCTGCAGTTGTCCTTTCCCAGCTGCCCAAGCAGTGGCTGCTGTTTCCAGGACTAAGGGCACTATCTCTGTACTCACTTTTAGAAGGATGGAAAATACGGATTTAATTTATTAGCCCGGGCTTTAGTTTTATGAGTTAAGGTTATAAAGCAAGGCTTAAACTCCATGTGTGTATTTTATGTGCGGCATCTCTATTGCTTTTTTTTGTTATTTTACTTTTCTCTCTCTAGTCTTGCTCTAGATAAAACTATAAAAATTAAAGCCTCACTCTGTACCCTATTCTACCTGTAATATTGGAGAATTTATATACATTGTGGTAGTTGTTTTCCAAATCATAGTATCACATGTGTTTACAGATTTTGAATGAATTTATGTGCCTAAAACAAATTATTACACTAGGGGGAGAAGAATTATGTTTCGTGATTTCTTTGACTTTTAAGTTATTAGTAATCCCAAACTAAAGGTTCAGAGCTGTTTCTAAATTAAAGAAATGTGTTTCTAAATTAAACACACCTAGTATTTGATATCCCTTCATGAAAAGGCAAGTGTGTATTTAGCAGTGGTGTTTCAGTGAATCAGATCATCTTGCTAAGTTCTCTGTGTCTTTTACATTCTCTAGTGTGGCCAGACTCCACTGATGATAGCTGCTGAGCAAGGCAATCTGGAAATAGTAAAAGAATTGATTAAGAATGGAGCTAACTGCAATCTGGAAGATTTGGTATGTATTAAAATAATTTACTCATTTTTAGTCTTTTTCTTTTCCTTAATTTATGTCTTTGTTTTGAAAGAATGATTAAAAATAATTGGTTTAAAATTATATGTTCAGATATATCGCACCTTTGTCTCATGTGCTACATCAGTTTCTTTAAGAGTAATTCAGGAGAGTAACTTTTGCCTTCAGTGAAGGATCTCAGCTCTCTATGCTTTTTCTATATATATATGGCACTGGCTGAATAGAGAGCACATGTGCGTGCAATTAAATGCCCGCCTAGGAATGTCCATGTGAGAGCTCTGTTGTTTAGCTCCCATAATTACAATTTACTGAAAATACCACTACCCTTCATATTGGCCAGGAAGATGTGAACCCCCTATGATACTGCTATAGTATATCAGAATGGAATCACCATTCCAAAAGGTTACATTTCCTCTGAATTCCCCTGTTTTCTGGTCACACAGCTACATTTTATTTTAATTAAATGATCAGTTGAATTAAATTGCTGATATATAAATTTAATAGGGTACTTGTGTCCTTTACTTAAAAAAATAAAGGTGAATATTCTTTTTGTTTATCACTTAATTTCTAAACTCTCTATATTGAGTTGCTGTACTTCCGTACCCTATGCATGTACACTCAGATCTGACTATAGGCTCTTTAAATTCAATTTATAGTAATGGTTGCTAGCCACGGGATTAGTCTTGAGGTTTGGTGGTCATCTTTTCTCCTTTTTTAAAAACACAGTATGTGATTACAAGTCCAGTGGAGAAGACTGAACAAGCAGCTGCCAAGTTGTTTCTGGACCATTAGCAGTGATATAAATAGATAAATTCTGAAGAGAGCTTCAATATTATTTTACAGAATTTTAGAGTAGGTCAAATCATGTCAGTTTGGTATGATCATTTGGTATGTAAATTCAGATTTTTTTTCCCCTTACTCTGAAATGCTATTTTTGATTTTAAAACATACCATTTTTATATGTATTTAAGGATAACTGGACAGCACTTATATCTGCTTCAAAAGAAGGACACATACACATTGTGGAAGAGCTACTTAAATGTGGGGTTAACTTGGAGCACCGTGATATGGTATGTACGTTTTCTATAATACAGCATTAGTTAGCTGAAATCTTGCTAGCAATAACAGATACATGAAATCTTATATTTTTATGTATGAAGTGATATTATTGTAATGATTTCAGGATTTGGGGGTGGACATTGAAATTCTCAAGAATGCTTTAAGCCCTGGTGTTTTATCCCTCTTTTAGAAGGTTCTTAGTCATCATTTTCAGTTTATTTCAGAGTTTAAAATTCTGTAATGTTGTTAAAACATTTTTAAAAAACCATTTCATTATTCTCTAATATACAAATATTTTATTTATTTTATTTTTATATGATAGTTTTGCAGGTGGTTTTGTTGTGACATTTCCACATATAAATATATTATACCCTGATTTGGTTCATCCTCTCCATTATTCTCCCTCCTGCCCCTCCCTTCTTCAAATAACTTCAGCAGGTTTCAGTGTTCCATATTCAGACATGTACAGAAAATACCCCAACCATATTCAGTCTTTACCCTCTTCATTTGCCCTACCCTCCCACAAGTGTCTTCCTCTTAACACAACCTGTTTTACATTCTTGTCCTTCATTGTTTAAGTGTCTGTTTTTCAGTTGATACTTTCCTTTGTATTTTTCCTGTAAACATAGTGTGCTTAAGTCAGTCTAACCCTCTCTGACTCTTCCTCACCCTTGTCCCACTATCCTATTTTGTTCTATGGTTTTCCTGTCTTTTATTGTTTCTTGTTCCTACACAGATGTGATGTGTTCCATTATTATTCTGTATCTATCATTCCTTTCTTTTTTCTCCTCTCTTAGTCTCCTCTAACAGTCCGACTTTTGGAAAGTTGGTCTGTATATATTTATATGCTTTTATGATAATGCTTGTATTTGTTTTGGATCTGTCTTCCACTTGAGAGAATACATGCGGTTCTTGGCTTTCTGAACCTGGCTGACTTTATTTAAGATGATATTATCCAGTTCCATCAGTTACCTGCAAATGATGAAATTTCATTCTTCTTTATGGCTGAATAAAATTCCACTGTGTATAAATACCATATTTTCTTCATCCATTCATCAGTTGTAGGGCATCTGGCCTGTTTCCATAGCTATTGGGAAATGCTGCAATAAACATGGGTGTGCAAGTGTCTTTATTGTATCTTGACTTACATTCCTTTTGCTTTATGCCTAAGAGTGGTATTGCTGGATTATATGGTAGTTCTGTTTTTTGAGGAGCCTAATTTATATTCCTACCCACATTGTATGTTATTTGTGTTCTTGATGACCACCATTCTATCAGGAGTGAGGTAGAATCTTCATGTGCTTTTGATTTGCTTTCCTTTATGACTAGGGATGTTGAGCATTTCATGTGTTTTTTGATCATTTTAACTTTACTCCTTTGAAAACGTTCTGTTCAGTTCATTTTCCCATTTCTTCATGGGTCATTGATTTTTTTGGGGAGTTTAGTTTTTTGAGCTCCCCATAAATTCTGGTTGTTAATCCCTTGTCAGATATATAGTTGGCAAAGATTTTTCCACCAATCTGTCATGTGTCTTTTCAGTCTGGTGACCACTTCCTTTTCTGTGCAGAAACTTTTTAGTTTCATGTAGTTCCATTTGTCAATCCTTCCTGTTAGTTTCTGAGTCATTGGAGTTTTATTTAGGAAGTTACTGCCTATGTCTGTATGTTCTAGTGTATTCCCTGTTACCTGTTCTTTCCTGTACTAGTTTCAAAGTTTCAGGTCATATATTAAGGTCTTCACTTTTAACTATTATTTGTACAGAGTGAAAGACATGGATGTAGTTTCTACATGTAGATATCCAGCAATATTTAAGCCTGTCTTTTCTCCATCGTATGTTTTGGGCACCATTGTCAAAAATCAGGTGTTTGTAGCTGCATTTATTTATGTTTGGGTCTTCTATCATGTTCCATTGGTCTTTTGTGTCTGTTTTTGTGCCAGTACCATGCAGATTTTATTGCTGTGGCTCTGTAGTATAGTTTGAAGTAAGGTATTATGATACCTCCAGTGTTGCTTTTTTGCTCAGTATTGCCTTGGCTATTTGTGGTCTTTTGTACTTCTATATGAACTTCAGGGTTGATTTTTCAATCCCTGTGAGGAATGTCATTGGAATTTGATGGGGATTACATTGAATATATAGATTGCTTTTGGTAGTGTAATCATTTTCACAATATTATTTAATTCTGCCAATCCATTAGCCTGGGACAGCTTTCTATCTTTCGTTGTCTTCTTCGGTTTTGTTCTTCAGTGTTCTGTAGTTTGTTAGTGGTTTATAGAACTAACTTTGTTAGTTTTTAGAAAAATCTTTGTTTTTTTTTCAGGTAGGTTCTTGCTCTTCTTACCATGTTGGCCTTGGACTGCAATACTCTTACCTCTGAGGTCTCTTGAGTAGGTGGGATTACAGGAATGAGCCACCACACTAAGATTGTTTTTTAGATAGGCTCTCACTAACTTTTTGTCTGGGCTGGCCTCAAACTCTTATACTCCTGTCTCTGTCTCCTAAATAGTTGGGAATTACAGACATGTGCTACCATGCTTGTCTATTCAATACTGTAGAACTTTTGAGAAAATTGGTTTCTTTAGATAGGACTTTTGGAAGGATGTTGTATCATTTTAAGTTTTTTCAATTATAATTTTCAGAATAATTATAGGTTTATTTGTAAATTGTAATTCTGTTCAGACCTGCTAACTGTACACATAAGTTTAACAAGATGTAATCTTGAATTATCACTTAGTTCTTATCTGATCAGAGCATCTGGTTAAAACATAAAGGTTAAAAAAAGAATCATTTCTGGCTTATTCTGTAGAGCATTTAACTTTTTCAGAAGTTAATTTTAACAGAAGAAGAAAGGAAGGAAATGATCTGCCTTGATTTGACATATAATCCATGTATACTTAGCTGATGGTGCTTTAGAAGTATACATGGTCTGAGTTTTTAAGATATGGCAACATTCCACCATCTTGCTTTTAATAATACAATATGATTTACACCGGATTTTACCTCTGTAACCTTATATTCTTAAAAAGTAGCAAAGTGGATTATGTGCTTATTTTTATAAGAAGATACTGCTATAGTTTGGATCTGAAATACCCCCCCGGGGGTCCATGTGTTCAAAGTTTAGTCCTCAGCTGTGGCACTGTTGGTTCTAAAGGATAGAGCCTTTAAGAGGTAGGGTTCAGCAGAAGGAAGTTGGGTCGTTGGAGGAGTACTTTGGAAGGGAATTTTGGACCTGGGCTCCTTCCTCTTTCTTTGCTTCCCAATTGTGTGTGCTCCCACTGTGCCACCGTAGAACCAAAGTAATAAACTTTTACTCTGTGTACGTTGTTTATCACAGGTATTTTGTCACAGTGTCAGAAAGCTGATAAACGCACATCCAGAGACCTGTTTGTATCTTACTTATTTCCAAAAACGAACTTAAGTATACTTCAGTTAAAGTCTAGGGAGAGAAGATAATGATGTCAATAACCTAGGTAAAGGATAGTTATGTGCGCTGGAAGTAAAAAGTGGTGTTCTTTCTTTATTGGTGCATAGCATAGCAGGGAAAGACAAGGAGTTGACTATTTCTCAGTATTTTATTATAGGCACCATACCAGATTATCAATGAAGGATTAATACCGTGTACCAGTTATATGCCTGGCCTCCTTAGGAGCTTTATAGCATCTGTGTTTTTTAATTAACTTCTCAGAACAGTTCTATAGACCACGGGTCATTTTGTTTTCTATGTATAGTTGAGGAAATTGAGGCCGAAGAGATGGGTCTTTATCCAAGGTCACATAGCTACTAAGTAATCAGGGTGGATTTTGAACCGAGGTCTGTCTACTCCAAAGGTTTACTCCTTTCATTCTTCTATATTCATAAGCAAGGGAGTGAAGAACTATAAAGTGCACCTTATGAATGTGTAAAATTTGATTTCTTAAATTCTTTTTTTGCTTTCCTTATTTCTTTTTCCCCAAAGTAATGATCACAAAACTTTTAACATTTGAAGACTCTTTGTGCTTGGCTTTGAAACACCAGAGAATGGAAAAATTGAGGACTGTATGTCTTTCAGTAGTTAGTATGGAGGGAACTGAACCATAAAGTATTGGTTGTGATGTCGGTAACTAAGCAATGGGAAGGCAGAATCCCTGGGACTGGTGTGAGGACAGGAGAGTGACCAGTGGAGCTGGAGTCTTAGGGGGTTCAAGATATAATGTCAGAAAGTCTGAGCAGGTGCTCTACTACTTAATACACCCTCCCAGCCCTTTTTCCTTTAGTTATTTTTCAGATAGGGTCTTGTCTGGGGCTGGTCTTGGGCTGTGATCATCCTACTTGTGCTTGCCTCCTAGGTGGGATTATAGTCATGTACCACCACATCCTGGCTTGTTTGTTGAGATGGGGACTTGCTACCTTTTTGCCCATGCTGTCCTCAAACTTCATTCCTACCCACCTCTGCCTCCTGAGTAGCTGGAATGACAGGCTTGCATCACCATTCCCAGCCCTGTATGGACTCTTCATACTTATTTTATTCTTTGGATTATAAGCCAGTACTATACTTACTCTTTTGCTCAAGTTATTTCAGTTGTCTATTGGAATTCTTTCTTACTGACTTCTAAATCCAGTCAAGATGCTGTCTCATTTTCGTTTAAGTGTTTTTTTCCTTTTTGGTATGTCAAGATGCTTCAGGCTCATGCTCATCTTTTATTTTCCTTGCCTTCTTAATGGAATCATCCAGTTGTCCAAGAAAATGGAAATTGGTATTTAGAAACCAATATCTACGTGTCAGTTAAGCTTATTGCTAATAGAGTATCATTGCTTCTACTCCTCAGTGGGTAGGAGTAATACATGTATGTACGCTAACTTACACATGCACATCTACTTTTGTATCTACTTAGCTTACATATTTTAAAAATGAGTCTGTGTTGTTACCTTTGTCTTTCTATATTCTCACTGATTTTTAGGAAAAAGTTGCATATGGTAAAACTTACTCTGCAACAGAGTTTATGGGTTTTGACACATGTAGAGTGTGTGTCCTCCACCACAGTTCCATAGAGAGCAGCTCCATCACCTCCTCATTCCCCTCTGATGCTCCTTCGCAGTCAGCCTCTCCACCCAGCCTCTGGCTACCACTGATTTGTTTTCCCTTTCTGTAGTTTTGCCTTTTCCAGGTTAGGATAAGTATATTTTTCTTATTCTTTGTAATGTAATGTTGAACTAGCATCAGAAGAATTAAGTAAGTCATAGTCTCAGAGCCAAATATGTATTGGTCCAAATACCAGTTTTAAAAAGCAAAACATTTCCATCCTTAGTAAGATTTGGTTACATTGGCCTCTTTTATTGAATTGCATTATAGCCAAAGAGAAAATTGGTCCTGTAGCTTGGTAAATAGAACCTTATCAGCTAGGAATTCACACTTGATGGCTTTTCCCACCCTGGAAATCTGACCTAGAGCTTAGTGCCTTGCATCCTTCTTTTCTTGCAAGAGGTACTGTGATGACCTGGGATTAAAGGAAGTGTTTAAATTGAGAAATTGGATATGATGTGGAACCCCTATCTGTATGAAGACTTAGACAACGAGGAGGCTGTCTAGGGAAAGGTTTGTAACAGCCAAAATAAATCTTGCAGTAAAATTTGGAAGAGTACAGCATGAATTTTCCCTATTTCAGCTTTTGTGGCATAGTACAAACTTTGGAATAATTATTCATGGATGCAAGAGATTTGACTCATTTCATGGACTATTGTAGACTTTTGTGGGGATCTTGGAAATTTAAACCAATGATGTTATTAACATAAACACAGAAGGAACTTAATTAGTGGCATTTTTATGCTTGGATGTGATCCAGTTTTGTATCCCTCCATTTTTTCTTTAGGGGGGATGGACAGCTCTCATGTGGGCATGCTACAAAGGCCGGACTGATGTAGTAGAGTTGCTTCTTTCTCATGGCGCCAGTCCAAGTGTCACTGGTCTGGTAAGTGTTCACCAAAAATTTAATTTGTAGCATAAGTGGTAAATTTTCTTAGGAAATGCTTCAGGCTATTTTTACTTCATAGTGGTTGGAGATTTCCTAGATCATATTAAATATAATGTAGAATATGATTTTACAACACAATGGAAACTTCGTAAGTTGAGCTTTTGTCTTAATTTTTGTCAACATAAATTCAACTCTTAGAGCTAAAATGGTAATTTTATCTATATAACATTTCAAAAGGAGATTTTGAAATCCTTGGTTATCTTTTCTGTTTTCTGTGAGTATGCATACTTAATCTGAACTTCTTTAAAGAAACATATACTAATTAACCATACCATTTCTATAAATTCTGTTGTATATACTCATATTCCTTTTATTACCTGTTCCTCTTATTAATTTTGCCTGTTGGGTAGATAATCAAGTGCACTGACTCGATAAAAATAAATGTGTTCAGGACATATGCTTCTTTAAGGTTAAATGCATCTTTGTTGCCAATTATATTTTATAAGCATTATTTGTGTTTTTAAACCAGAGAGTGATCTGTAGAATGGTTTTTAAAAAATACTACTTTGTGCTACTCTCTTTGATATTTATGTACTTTACTTAGTAAATATGTGTGGCAAATATCCACCTAAAAGATTCCCTTTTCATTCCTCCCTTCCCTCCCACCTACTATCCATCCCAGCAGTATAGTGTTTACCCAATCATTTGGGCAGCAGGAAGAGGCCATGCAGATATAGTGCATCTTCTACTGCAAAATGGTGCTAAAGTCAACTGCTGTGATAAGGTAACTTGGCAGAATTACCCATGTTTTAGCTTGTGTTATGCCTGCTAGAGTGTCTTAGTTATAAACATTTTCATATAAAATTACTCACATGTATTTTATATTTTTGTATATTATTTTATTTATGTAGATATATGTCTTATAGTTGGATTCTTTATATATATTATGCACTGTTTCCTTTTGATGTTTATTATATCCCATTCATCATTCTCAAGAAGATAGCGACAGTGATTCACTGTCTCTGTTGTTTGAAGTTTTGAGTTGTAACTCTTTTTCCTTTAGTCCTACCTGCTTTCCTGCTTTTCCTTTATTATTGCAAGAATGATCTTTTTTTAAAATTCAGGTTTGTTTATCTGTCTCTCGTGTATGAAATCATAAAGACCAGCCTTGGTATGGTGGATATTGGTAGGACTTGCCTCCCTTTGTCCTGATACCTATAACCCAAGTTACCTTGCATGCTAGCCTGTCTAATGACCTGTAGTTTCCTGAGTTCCTGTGCTCTTTCCCAGTGTGCTATGACCTCTCCTCAGTTTCTCTTTATTCTGGAGGCGCAGCTCATTTGTCACGTCTAGAAAGCTCCCTAGAATGTTCTTCTATCCCCACCCCCCCTTTTTTTTTTAAATCCTTAGCACTAACCTCAAATGTTTAATGAGTACTTAATGTTTTTATTCTCCTTTCTTTTGGTGGCTTTCAGTGTTTCAGGATAAAGCCCATGCTTCCTGGTTTGACTTCAGCATATATTCCTAGTCTTACTTTTTTCTCTCCTTTCCATATACATACACTATGCCTTTAGACACAGAAGTTGTCTAACATTCTGTGAACTTTGTTTTATTCTATCCCCCCTGCTAGAATCTGTGCTATTGCCTCTTCTGCTTGATGAAAACCTATTTATTTTTCAAGGTTAACTTGAGATGTTATCTGTCTAGTCAAATCTTTTCTTAGTGCTCTGCCTCTGTACTATTAGTGCTCTCTGTGCATACTTCCATTGGAGCGTATAAACTACAGCCTTGTAATAATTGCATTTTTCTTTTTTTTGAGAAGATCAGGGATGTTCCTCTTTTTCCTTTTGGTCATTACTTCCATTGGTTGTTTTAAAATTTGACACATTGTTGGGATGATCATAATATTTTAAGTTAAAACTTTGTAGCTAATCATAGGAAAAAGGACTATTATCTGGAGATTTTTTTTGTAATTGGAATAGATTATGAGCATCACTTTCTTTAAGCAAATACTATTACTTACCCTCATGAAGATGTTGGAAGCCATCCATGCCTTGATCTGGATGGTGGTCAGTCGGGTTTGTACATATGTAAAAAATCATCAATTAGCACACTAAAGAGAGTGTATTTTTGTGTTTTATGCATGTTATGCCTTATTTTAAAAAATACTGCATAAAATAAAAGTTCAATGGGGAGGGTAAGAGGACTGTTGTATATTTATATGATAATGCGATGTTTAATTCCGATCAACTGAGATGTTGTTGATGTTTGATCAACTGAGATGTTTTTAATAGTTCTTTTTGTTGATGTTTTTGATATGACAGTCTAATATCATAGAAAAACCTTCATTTTTTTCCTTCTGGCCTGTAGAAAATTGTTTATATACAGTTTGCCATTTAAGGCCCTCCAGAATCATATATTGTGCTACTCAATCTGTCTTTCTTTAGCATTCTGAGAAAATGTTTAGTACCTGCTGAGTGCTATCCCTGTACTTAGCACAGAAGATACAAAAACAAAGAAGGAATGATCTCTGTTCAGAGAAGCAGGAAGATAAGTGGAATGTGTAATATGCATAGGTTAGGCTCAGATGTTTTAGGAATTTGAAGATAGGGGGATCCACTGATGGCTGAGCAGTCAATAAAGAACTGATAGATTATGTGAGACTTACTAAGAGTGGAACTTATATCCAAGAAGACTAGGAGAAGAAGCCATGCTACACACAGGGGAAAATGAGAGCAAAAAGCCCAAGTATGACTTGGCATGGCATGTTGAGGGGGTGCTGAGCAGACCAGGGAATGAGCTGAACTGAGTGTGAGGAGAGGAGCTGGCCAAGGAAGCCTTGGCCATAGAAGCCACCACCTTCAGGTAGGCCCTGAACACCTTACTAAAAAGTGGATGTCTGCCCTGTAGATACTGAAAACCACTGGGGAATTAGTGTTGTAGATTGGCACAAACTGGTATTAATTTTAGAAAAACTGTCGTTTAACAGTAGGCTTGTTAAAGATAGAGAATATTCTTCTTGCTGACAAAAGTAGGTTTTTATGGGCACTCATTTTTAGAAAAGGGAACACATCTTGTGTTGACTGAGGCGATGGGGCACCTGTGGTTAAAAGTGTCTGTCCTACTGTATAGTGGACCTAAGGGTTGTCAGCTGGTGGGAAAAGGCTTGCATAGAGGTGATTCTGGAAATTCTAGAAGCATGGGTTTAATAGCAGAGTTCACGGGGAGCTCAGCAGTGTCTGATAATTAGGAGTACTTCCAGAGGTAGAAGAATTTGGTTGGTGAAAAATCAATGGTGAGAAGTGACTTGAAAGCTCAAGGTTGAAGGCACAGTCAATAGTTCATGTGACTGTAGAGCTTTCAGGAAAAGAAAGAACTGAATTTAAGAGCTATAGATCTGGGGCTTAGGTGACGATTGTTGCCCTCATGTATAGTGATTCTGTAAGATTTATGGCGGAAACTAGTTTTTGAAGGGGTTTTGGTGAAGAATTGGAAATAACCCTTATAAATTATTTTGAAAGGTGTGAATAAAAGGATGATGATTAGTTACCTTAAGAGAGTAGGTTTTTGGTAAAGTTTGTTAGAGGGGAAAGCCTAAATCAGAAGGAAGGGAGGATTAGAAGGAAAGACATGGTGTGGGAGGAGATGGTTGAAAAAGGTCTAGACAGAACAGATTAAGATAGGATCAAGGGGATACATAAAGGGAGCAAACAAGACTGTGTCTGAAAAAAGAAAAAGAGAAAACTATTTAGACCATAGAGATTTGATTTAGAAGGAATAGAGGCCAGAACTTGAGAAAAAGAGAAGAGAGAGACTTACTAAGGTGGTTGAATGCTAACTCCAGAGCTCTTTTGAAGTAGACAGAATGCCAGGTGAGGATGGTCTTGCCCCAGGCGCCAAGAGTTCTTTGTAATGATGAAATTGAGATGGCTTGCTGAATATGAGGGTGAGATGAGCTGGCCAATGTGATGACGAGGGGAAAGAGTAGCCATGCTAGCATATAATCCTGCACAGTTCAGTTCTGTAAAAGGGTAAAAATCAAATGCAGTGGGTGTTGAAAGGATGAGCTCTTAAGTCAAATTAGCATTTTTAAAGCAGGCCTGATTAGTAGTGAATGTGTATGTGTGTTATCCTTGTGACTGTCTGGCTCTTGTTTGTAGGGATATGGAGGGCATTTCAGCCAGAGAAAACATGTTAGCCACAAAGAAGGATGCTGGAAAAGAGAATTTAATTCTGGGAGAAGTGCAGTCCTTATTCCATCTCTCTAAGCCTGTTTTGAGGCCATGGCTGTGATGATTGTTCTCTTTCATGGCCTGTCTCCTTGTCGTTAGGCTCCTTTCCTATGTACTGTATTATAGGCAGGCTTGCGAGTCTGGCTGTCGTGAGGTTCAGTTCATCAAGAAGAGCACTGAGGACTGTAGCTTTCCACAGTGTGGTTGCCGTGATGTCTGGTATAAGTAGAATGGTGCTGCCCAGTGCAGTAACCACTAGCCACATACGGCTACTAGACTTTTAAATAAAATTGAAGATTCAGTTCCTGAGTCACATTAGCCACGTTTCAAGAGCTTAATAATCATGCGTGCGTTTCTTTCTACACAGCCCTGTTGGATAGGGCTGCCATAGCAAGCTTAGTAAATGTTCATTTTCATCCGCAGGCCCCATGAACTTAAAGGTCACTGTGGGCACTCGTGTGTGTGGATTGCCTATCATAGCATAAAGTCATGGCCTTGACTTTATGCAAGGTTTGTATTCTCTGATGCCTTTTGCGTCATGTTCCAGGAAAAGGTGCTTTTGAGTACGGCTTCCAGGCCGAAGGTATCAAGAACAGAGGCTGAGAGTAGACTCTGTGCCAGGCTTGTTGGGCTCATGGGTCTTGTTCTACCTCTTGATAGAGTTGGGACTTTGACATTTTAATCTTTTCAGAGCCTCACTTCCTCAGCTGTGGGAATGTAACGTGAATTATATTTGTTCTGTGAAAACTTGTTGAAAATTAGAGGCTTTATGACTTTGATGGAAAAATCGTCTCTGGTTATAAAAGCTAAGAAAGTTGGGTAAAAGGCATTTCATGCTGTGATTAGTCATCTAAATTGAGGGAAATAGGATTTATCTAGGATTAAAATTATGATGTGAACACATAAGAATACTCAGCATAAAGTTTTATCAAAATTCATGTTGTAAGCTAGTTTCTTTTAGTATTTCCCTAATAATAAACTTAAAATGTATTGTTTAATAGTTTGGAACCACCCCTTTGGTTTGGGCTGCACGAAAGGGTCATTTGGAATGTGTGAAGCATTTATTGGCAATGGGTGCTGATGTCGATCAAGAAGGAGCAGTAAGTGTCTTTTGTTTCTTAACCTTGGTGGTATAGAGATTCTTTTGGTTTTAAAACAAAGAGTACTTTAACTTTGCATATGTCTAGAAAAATTTCCCTCCAGGTTTTAAATAATGTTAACTTAAAAAAATGTGTACTTTCTATTATTCTAAGAACCTTATATTGTAAAAAACATAATAAATACTTGCTTTTGAAGATCTATTGCTAAAACAAATTTTAGCAAAAATAAGTTTTGGGAAGCTAAAACTATCAAGAATAATTTTCAATAATCCTATAACTGTTTGAAAGAATATTTCAATCAAATTCTTTTTAATCTTAATAGTAGAAAAAGAGCTTTTATACTCTATTAAGATATCTTTTCCCTAAAACCTTAAACTAATATTATAATTTGTGGGTATTTTTAGCTGTAACTTATTACCCCTCTCTAAAAAGCAGATTTAAGAAATCAGAAATCTTTACAAAGCCTGTAAAAAAAAGTCAGAAATCAACTATTAAAACCTAAAAAGTTTAAAAATTGGTTATCTGCATGTAACTGACAAGCAGTTATGAATTCCTTACTGATTACCAGCTGCAAAGCCAGACTATGCCACGAGTGCTTGGGAGACCTGAAAAGCCTCACAGATTGTTTTTCCTGTGAGCTCATAAGAATGTGCAGGAGGCAATATTTATGTGCAATAAACAGTGAAGAAACTGTGGACTAGGGCTGGCAGAATTGCTCAAAAGGTAGAATGCCTGCCTAGCAACCATGAGGTCCTGAGTTCAAATCTCAGTACCACTAAAAGCCAAAAAGACCTATAGAGTACTGTTTACATGACTATCTACAAGGTAGCTCATAAAAGATTCTGAGACGTGATGCTGCCAAATCTCTGGCTTCATGAAACTCTTAATTACACTTGAGCTGGAGTACTTAACCAGTTCCTTCTGTTCTCCATGTTGGCAGAGCTTCTCACTGTTGAGAATGGACTGTCTTCACTCTGAGAGGAGACAGAACAGGATTCCTAAGCAGATATAGACATCTTGCCTTCCACTTGTGTCCCTTCTGGGAAGTTTATCAAGTGGATGAGTGGCTGTTCTCTGTGATGATTGACTGCTAAGGAGTTTGAAAAGGCTGTGTCATTTTAATATGTGAGATGATTACGCCGTAATTAGGGGTGCAGCTTTTAAAAGAACTACTTAAAATAGGACAATTTTTGAAAATGGGTTTTTAGACCACTGTCAAGGAGCATTTATTATACTTTTTCTTGAAATATTCTATAGGAATTAATCATGGTTTTAACTCAGTTTTTCCTATATGTCTTATTATAAAAATTCTTAGTGTGAAACTGGAGGTGTGGCTCAAGAGGTAGAGTACCTGCCTAGCCAGTTTGAGGCCCTGAGTTCAGTCCTCAGTATCACAGGGGGAAAAAAAGAATTCTTATTTTGAGGTTTGAGTCACCTTATTTTGAATTCACTTATTCTCGAATGTGTTTGAGTCATTTTGTAAACTATACTTTATTACATCATGAGTTTATTCATTGTAATTTAGTCCAATTTCAGATTATCATTTAAGCACTGACACTCCTAATATTTTTAATGACTCAGAGAATATAACTTTAAAAGCTGAAAATATTGTCTCATAGCCACTTTTGGTATGTGTCTGATTATTTATATTGCATCTTATCAGAAATAATTCTTAATCACTGGAGGTATAAGTCAATTGTACAATGCTACTGTGCCTTCTTAAGGCCCCTGGGTTAGGTCTCCAGTACCACCAGAAAGGGAGGAAGGGCGGGTGAGTGAGAGAGGAGAGGGTGGGGTGGAGGGCTGTTAGTAATAGGCCGCTTATTTTTGATTATGATGTAAATCATGTTTTCTAGACTATACTAATTTGGAATTTTTTTTTTTTTAAGAATTCAATGACTGCACTTATTGTGGCAGTAAAAGGAGGCTATACACAGTCAGTAAAAGAAATTTTGAAGCGGAATCCAAATGTAAATTTAACTGACAAGGATGGAAACACAGCCTTGATGATTGCATCAAAGGAGGGACATACAGAGATTGTGCAGGATCTGCTGGATGCTGGGACATATGTGAACATACCTGACAGGGTCGGTCACCTCGTTCAGATTTGTCTAGTGGTGAAGTGGTGAAAGATTACCTTAGCTGTTTACTTCCACCTTTCAAGATTCTTGTCTGACAACTTGTTTTAAGTTTCATTTCTCCCTTTGAAACTAATGTTAACAATTACTCAGTCTTTCTGAAGAATGCTCATATTTTTTCAAATAGTTGTGTTATTAAAATGTATGATTTGTCTGTAACTGTACTTGATATATATCACTGTCAGTGTTTTTTCACAGCTGATGTTATTCATTGTCTCAGGGCTTGAAATACCACATTTATACTTAAGATGTAAAAAAATCTTTCTGTTGCTGCAATTTGTACATCTTCATTTGAACTCTCCACTTGAATTTCTGTGTAGTGGGCTTCTTGTTTGAAGCAATCCAAAGTTTCCTCTTGCACTTAGGAACAAGGTCTTTTCAGCTTACAGACACCACTTGCCATTGTACTTGCCTGAGTCTTTGTCATGTCATGTCCAGATACTTTTCTGGTCCATTGACAGCCAGTGTCATTTTATTTAATTTATATTTGTAATGGGAGATTACCTGCTGAGAGACATAGAATAGGTTCTCCTTCTGGGCAATTTGCTTTCTAAGTTTTTGTCATGAAATTTCATGAATTCTTATGTTGAGGCCTAATGTTCCCTGTCCCTTACTCAAACGACTATTAATTATCAGGCATTGCTATTAGTTAGCTAAAACTTTTCTTTTGTTTAATGATAAACTCTTTTCCTAAGAAAATTTTAGAGCAGACCTATTATATTAATAAATGAGTTGCCTTAACATCAAAATAGTGCTTATTTGTTCTCATCACCAACTGATCCTGTTTTTTGTCTTTTTAGAGTGGGGATACTGTGTTGATTGGTGCTGTCAGAGGTGGTCATGTCGAAATTGTTCGAGCACTTCTCCAAAAATATGCTGATATTGACATTAGAGGACAGGTATGTGTGATTACAGAGCACTGGTTATCTTGGAGTATAGTTGGTGGTACTGGGGTTTGAACTTAGGGCTTTGTGCTTGCTAGGCTTAAAGTGGCTCTGCTGCTTGAACCACACCTCCAACCTGGTGCTGCTTTTTAAGTCAAGTAACACTAACTTTTCCTAGACTTTTCTCACAAAGAATTTCTCAAAAGTATGTCTTAGAGAGCATATGGATTAACATTATTTCCCACTGTGCTTCCTATTGGAATGGTTTTTGGCAGAAATGTTATGTTATTTTACATTTACAAATAGCAGTTTTTAATGTTGTATCTTATATGAAGTGACTTTTTTCAAATTACAGGACAATAAAACTGCTTTGTATTGGGCTGTTGAAAAGGGAAATGCAACAATGGTGAGAGATATCCTACAGTGCAATCCTGATACTGAAATATGCACAAAGGTGAAAATGACATTTCTATTCTGTTAGCAATATCCAGTGCTGAATATTAGTACTGCTTTTTGTCCCATCATCATTGTTTGACTTTAAAGTTAACTGATTTTACTGGAAATGCTTTCTATTAAGTTGAGGGGTAACTTTGTATCCTTTTAAAGTTACATATGCATAGCAAATGCACTGTGTAATTTGATACTTGAATTAAATAGTGCTTTTCACAAATCTCCCCCAGTGTTTCATGCTTCTCTTTGTGGTGCAAAGCCTGTTTTCTGAAGACCTTTGTGAGTGGTCATTGGTTCTGCACACCAGCCATTTTAGCCTTATGTGAGGGGAAAGTATTTCTGTATTAAAATGTCAGAAATTCTTAATGCATAAAGCAAAGTGATAGAGTCATCCATAAGACTATCTGTTTCATCTGCTAGAGACCTGGACTAGTACATTTGTAAATCCGTGATGGTCTTTCCAGTGCCCTGGGACATAAACTTCCCTGGAATATCTACGGCTTTGCTCATTGAACATCTTTTTTAAAAAATCTTTTTCTTTTGGAACCCTGTGTCAGCCACTGTAATGACATGTGGCCTTTGTCCATGGTTTTGTCTTTCCTACCGGGTGCTGAACTGTGATCTTCTTCATGTGTTTCATTTGATTTTGAAGGCAATCATGGACTCTTTTGAGGTTTTGCAAAGTCTGACTGCTGGTATCAAATGGTTTGAAAGTCCTTAGGTTCATATGTGTTTCTTACAGTCTAGAAACTCCCTTGCCTGGATGTTGAGAGGCTGTACTGGGGATTGTTTGGTGGGTAGAGAGCAAGAAGAGGAAGCAGCCTATGCAGGACCTGTCTCCAGGTCAGCATTGGCCTGAGGGAATTGACTGGAGTAGCCACTGCAGCAGGTGTGGGTGAGGAACAGCTGGGGGTACATCCCACAGCTGGCTAAGTGATACAAACTTATTTTCACACAAAAAGGTGGTCATGAAGGGAAAAGCACTTCTCTTTTTAGTTTTAAAACATAGTCTTCAGAACATTTTAAATGTAGACTATTATCACAGTTAGAATTTCTTGTTATGTATATTTCTATAACACTAAATACTTGGCAGTAAAGCTATGGATCTGTGAAATCTCGTTATCTGCATCCACAGGATGGTGAAACCCCACTGATAAAGGCCACCAAGATGAGAAATATCGAAGTAGTAGAGCTGCTGCTAGATAAAGGAGCTAAGGTGTCTGCGATAGATAAGGTAAGACATCTGTGCAGACAGAGACTCTTGGGTGAGTGTTGCTAGACTGACCTGTACATCAGTGGGCTTACTGGGGATCTGATCTAATGTGTGTGGGGAGAGATTACTGGCTGAGGCTGTCTGTGGGGGATTTTGATTCTGTTCCAGAGGTGTACTGAGGACTGGGCAGGCACAGTTTGCGATTGATGAAGCAGTTTCAGATTTTTCTTCTGAGGCTCATAAACCACTATGGAGATTTGCCCTTGACCACCACACACGTAGGGTGCCTCAGGGGTAGAACTTGTTGCAGATAAACTGAAGCAAAGAACCTGAAGGTACAGGAGAAAGTAGACCCTCAATGCAGACTGGCGTTCATGTTTACTAACAAGAGATGGACTGTTCTGCTTTGCGTCCTTACAGTTATCCTTTTAGAGCTTTCATATTTTTCATTATAACTGCACATTGCTTAACACTTTATAGACTTGATTTCTGGTTTTACTTTGTTTTCATTATAAACAGATTTATTTCTTTCCCTTTTCTCCCAGAAAGAGGTGAATTAATAAGAAGTATTTAAAAAATTCTCCTGTGAATGTATACGGTTTGGGCTTTCTTAATACTTAGTAAATTAAAGCTTACCTTTCCATTATTTATGGGAAAATTAAACAAAAAACACAATATACTTTTTATTTTACCAAGTTAACAACATGACTTAAAACAGCTGGGCTTAGCAGTGCATGTCCATAATCCCAGCACTGGGGAGGCTGAGGCAGGAGGATTAAAAGTTCAAGGCTAGCTTGAACTACATGGTGAGACCCTGTCTCAGAAAAAAGATGAAACAAAACTGAACAAACAAATCTTTTCATTTGTCATTTCTAAATTAATATAATTGCCTGTAGAAGAAAGAAGATTTTAGTATTCAAAATTAGGAAGAGTGGGTGTCAGTGGCTCATGCCTGTAATCTGAGCTACTTGGGAGACTGAGATTGGGAGAATCATAGTTTGAGACTAGCTGGGGCAATGGCCATGAGATGTCATGTCCAAAGTAACCTAGCAAGATGAATTGAAGGTGTGGCTCAAGCAGTAAAGTACCTACTTTGCATGCGAGAAGCCCTGAGTTCAAGCCATATTTCCCCTCTCCAAAGTAAGTAGATCATAATAGACGGGAGGTGTGGCTCAAGGGGTAGAATATCTGCTTTGCAACCGTGAATCTCTTAAGTTCAAACCCCAGTTGATAAAATAATAAATTAATAAAATTAGGAAGGACATAAAAATCAAGAAGAATTTTTGAATTACAGCTTTATGGAAAACATCCTGTTGCCCGTTTTCCTCATTCTGTCATTGAGTCATATCTGATACTGGTCCCCCCAACTTGCATCAAGATTGCTGGTCACAAGTAAGTTTCCTGAAGGACTTCCATCTCAATCCATGCATATGTGACCATGCCAGAGCCTGCGTGTGATATGTGCTGAGAAGCATCCTCGGTAGCTGGAAAAGTTGTTCATTTTAAGTATTCATACTGAGGACTGATAGGATGTCCTGTAAGCATTTGGAATACAGCCTCATAGGAGTTTTGAAGCTGGCTCTTCATAGAGAATTTCCTAAAAATAGATTAATGAATAAATATGATTTTTTAACCATCCCATTACCACTCTGTGTTTATCTTCAGCTTATGAACAGAATGTATTAGTATCTTCTCTGTTCAGAAGTTGTATGTCTGGCAGGCATGCTGCTTCTGAGATTCTGCCTTCTCACAGAATTGTGGGGAGAAATGGAGTTGAGTGGGACAGGAAGGTGGTGAAATGTGCCTCAGATGTTTGTAGTTTGAGGAGTGGTAAGACATTCAGGAGGTTGTAACCATAAGGCACTGGGAAGTGTGGGACAAGAATGAGGGAAAGAAATGCAGGCTGGGGATGGAAACTTGTCTGTCATTGAGCTATGTCAGTTGCACGGGCATGACGAAGATCAGTGTGAAGAAAGATGAAAGCCAAGGTCAATGTTTTCCTCTTCTATGGTTTGTGTTGTAGTGTAGTTGTTTTTATAATTGTGCTTGTTCACCCAGTCTCTTTCTTTTACAACATCAATTATTTAGGTCACAACTGTTTGTCTTCCATCTTTATCCCCTCCAAAGTATCTCGCATACAAAGTCCCTATAAATACTAAGGTCACAACATAGTTGTTTAGAAGATAGGAAAAGAATGTACAGAGGAAAGAAGAGGAGAAGTTAGGATAAGGTTGTGCCATGGAAGCCACAGGAAGAACATGCGGGTCATTTTTTTGGTGATGCTGGGGTTTGAACTGAGGCTCCAGGCTTGCTAGTGAAGCACTTTACCACTTAGCCTGACCCTGTCCTTTTGCTTTTAGTTTGTTTGTTAGATAGGGTCTTTGGGCCAACCTCAAACCTTGCTCCTCCTATCTCCACTTCCCTTGCAGCTGGGATTATAGGCATATATCATATGCCTGGCCCCTGCAGGGCATTTTCGTTAAGTATCACAGATCCATGTGGATGAGAACTGGGAATTTAATTTGTTAAGTTTGGGGCCATTGGTTGTCTTCAAGAGAAGAATTTGTGAAGTAATACATGGGAGAGTACTGGCAGACTGATGAGGCCTTTTTGCATACCATTTTTTCCTAGCATTGGATATGAACATTAATGAGGGAAGAATGTGGGTTGATATTAGGGAAAGTGAAAAAGTGAGGAGAGGGAACAGATTGTAGAGGTCAGAGAAGGATATATATGACAGGAAGGCTCAGCGTTGGGCAATGTGGCGGAATGGAATTTAAGGGTGCATCACAGGGCAAGTAGTTGACATGCGAGGTGACGAGGTTACCTGTGCCTGTGCTGGCTGGGGTGTCAGCACGAAAGCTAACAAAGACATCCGTGAAATAGAATACACGTTAGTTGAGGAAGATGGCTTATATCCTTGGACAAAAAATATTTGGATGACAGATAGGTACTGGGAGGAGTGCAGGGAGAAAGGCTGTTGCTCCTCTTTCCAGGAGATGAGGGGGAGAAGTATAGCCTTCGTTATAAAGGGCTGGGGAAATAAATAGTTTCTGAGGAAAGCTGGAAAAGAAAGGAATTACGGGGAAGGCAGATAAAAATTCATGTTATATATGTACTCTATGAAAAATAGGAACAGTGCAGACTTTGTTGCTGTACAGAAGCATCACAATTGTTACTCTCTACTGTATATTAAAATGAGAAAGTTCATGTTTCCTGCTGTTATTTTACAGAAAGGAGATACTCCCTTGCATATTGCTATTCGTGGAAGGAGTCGGAAACTGGCAGAACTTCTTTTAAGAAATCCCAAAGATGGGCGTTTACTTTATAGGCCAAACAAAGCAGGAGAGACTCCTTACAACATTGACTGTAGCCATCAGAAAAGCATTTTAACACAAATATTTGGAGCCAGTAAGTATGGGGTTTTGTCCCTGACTGAGCTTTGGAAAAAATGAGTGTGCAGTTTTAGCATTGAAAAATAAAAGAGGCCAACTTCTGTAATTACCACTTAACTGGACAATACAAAAGTTAAGAAAGTTATTTTATTTTGGAAAATAATCTTCCACGTGTAAAATTCTTTTGCATTGTTTTGTAGCATTCTAAGTTAAGTACATTGAGCCATCAGTTTGTAAGGGTTCTATAAATTGAACCTATTTTTTCTAAATGCCTACCCCCCCCCCCCCCGTAGTTTTTATCAGACATGCTTTGCAATCTTAGCATACGTTACAGTTCTCTACTTTTGTGTTTTGTCTACTGCAGGCCATGTTCTCTATCCCCATGAATATTATGTACTTATTACAACCATCTCTCTCCTTCAAAGATTGTGTCTGCTCTCCCTTCTTCATAGGTTGTTTTTGTTTTGTCAGTAATGGGGTTTGAACTTGTGCCTTGTGCTTGCTAGGCAGGCATTCTGGTACTTGAGCTAGTGCCTCAGCCCATTTTGCTTTAGTTATTTTTCAGATAGGTTGTGTTTATACCTGGGCAGGCCTGGACTACAATCATCCCTCCTGTTTATGGGATGACAGGTGTCCACCACCATACCTAGTGTGTCATGAGTGAGATGGGTGTCTCTCAAACTTTTTTGTCTGTGCCGGCCTTTGAAGTGTGGTCTTCTTGATATCTGCCCCGTAAGAAGCTAGGCATGAACCACTGGTGCCTGACTTGTATGTAATTTTTAATGTTTCAGACATATGAGTTTTATCAAGGTGTGGGGTATGTAGAGTTTTAATTTTAATTTTTAAATGAAATGCCTCTGATGTTGATATCCTGCACAAGTTCAATAGTGTTCTGATCATTGAAGTTGTATAGTATTTTTATACTGTCTGCAAGGATACCTACCCTTTGGTACTCTTTAAAATTTCTTTCTTAGCTGTCCTAACCTGTTTTTCTTGCTTTCAGTTTTTAAAAATACTCTCTGGGGTTTTGATTGGAATTGCCTTCAAGTGATAGATTAGTTTGAGGACAATTGATATTTTTAAGTCATTGAATCTTTCTACCGGTGACCAAAGACTTTTTATTTTTTCTGAGTATGTATTATCTTTTTCATTAATGCTTTGTGTTTTTGTTGTTGTATTTTTTGAATTCCAAAATGCACATTAATCCTGATTTTAATATCTCTGAAACTGAAATTTGTCTTACCAATTTTTTTCTTTTCTGATGGGACTGGGGTTTGAACTTGGGGCTTCATGCAAAGCAGGAGCTCTACCTCTTGAGCCATGCCTCCATCCATTTTGGTATTGTTATTTTGGGGATGAGGTCTCCTGACCTGTTTGCTGGGGTCAGCATCGAACCACGATTCTTCCAATCTCAGCCTCCCAAGTAGGTAGGATTACAGGAGTGAGCCACTGGCGTCCGACATTCTTTGTTTTTGCTGGTGCTGGGGATTAAACCTAGGGCCTTGCACATCTTAGTTAAGCACTCCACCCTTGAGTTGCATGCCATCCTTAAAACATGCCTCAGAAGCTGTGGGTAAGAAAGCATCGCAGCACAATTGGCCTGCATCTTTTCTGAACTGCGCATAAAAATGAAGCATCTTACAATATCATGTATCTTAAGTTCCATGCAATAAGGTATTTGTCTATGAATTCCTGAACCTATTTTTACACAGACCCAAATGTTTAAAATAAGTGTTTTTCTCTAATAAACAATAAGTGAGATTTGGTATTCCTTTCTACCGGTAGTGCACTTCACGTATAGATATGTTGTGTTTCTAATTACAGGACACTTGTCTCCTACCGAAACAGATGGTGACATGCTTGGTTATGATTTATATAGCAGTGCCCTGGCAGATATTCTCAGTGAACCTACCATGCAGCCGCCCATTTGCGTGGGGTTGTATGCACAGTGGGGAAGTGGGAAATCTTTCTTACTCAAGAAACTGGAAGGTAAGGGGCATATTTTGTACAGTCTCTGGAGTAAAGGAGAAACTAGAGTTCTGTGTTTAGGTATGTGGGTGACACTATTGCTGTCCTACATTTGTTGGGGTTTTATTGCCCTCTAGTTTTACTGTGATCCTGTCCACGGTCATTTGAGTTTTCAAAAAACAGATCCAATTGATAAAACCCTTAGTACTACATTTCATAAGCCCATCACACACTTGTCAGTTTGTGGTGCTCCCTGGTGAGCTCCATGCTGCAGTCTGGAGCACTGTGTGCTCTTGCCTCAACAGAACAGATATTTTGCTGACTTGTTCCCTCTGTCAGGAGCTTCTTGGACAGCTACCTCCCACCCCCCAACACACACATCATTTGCTTGGGAAAATCGTACTTACTTTTTAAGGCAAGTTGTAGTATTGCTTGTAAAAATTACCATGAGTCGTGTAGAAAGAATGACTTGTGTAGGGCTCATTTGGGTTCAGCACACCTGGAGAACTGTGATTCTCGAATGTAATTAGAGTGTGAGGGGACCACAGAGGCATGGTGGTGGTGTACAGTTTGAAGATGCTTTGAAGAAACAACAACATTGTTTGTATCACACAAAACACATAAAAGAAATCCTAACAAAATCTTGACAGATGGGAGTATATGCAGAAGGGTTTTGTGTATCCTCAGTATGAAGCAAGACAGTGGGCGTGTAGGTAGGCCCATGGGAATGAGATGCTTGTGTTTGTCAAGAGACATTGCTTAAAATGGTTAAGTAGCAGCAGTCTATTGACTGTGTGCAGTAGATGCCCAGTAAAAGTTTTATTGAAATCACGAAAATTAAATGTTAAGTTAAAAGGTGCATTTTTTTAAACAAAACAGAAACAAAGTTTCCTATGAATTTCTCTTTCAGATGAAATGAAGACATTTGCAGGACAACAGATTGAACCGCTTTTTCAGTTTTCTTGGCTTATCGTGTTTCTTACCCTGCTACTTTGTGGAGGGCTTGGCTTATTGTTCGCTTTTACGGTTGACCCAAATCTTGGCATAGCAATTTCATTGAGCTTCCTGGCGCTCTTATATATATTCTTCAGTAAGTCTTTGCTTCTCATCTTTTTGGAAGATGGAGAAGAAGGTCAAGACTAATTGTTTCACTTAAAAGATTGTCAATGTCTGTGTCTTAGAATCTACATGTGATTTTCATAATTGGCTAAGAAAGTTGATGTTTTTGCTCTTGTATAAATTGGCTTATAGGGACATTGTCCACAACGTGGCTGAAGTAGTTTTAAAAACCAGTGTATGGTCAATATTGAAGCAGGATTTTAATTACTCATTATACTTACTCTTTTGTAGCTAACTAATGACCTACATGTAAATCTTTTTTTGAAGAGAAAGTGTCATAGCCATCCCTGGCAGGCTCTAGAGCATTTTAACCATGATTGTATTTTTTAATTTATCCAAAAGCAAAGTAAGAAAGTAAACTAGAATCCCTGTTCCTGAGGTTGTCGTCATTTGCAAGAAAGAAAATGGGTTTGCTTTTGGAGGAACTGAGAACTTTAACAGTGATAAACTCATAGTCTTTTGCATTTGAACCCGTAGTAAAGACATATCTCTGTTTAAGGCTTTATCTTTCTGAGTGTAACTCTCGGGTCATATGTTAGTCAGTTTGCATGTTTTACATGCCTTCCATGTGTTGAGGAAGGTTAGTTGATGAATTCCTTGAGGAGTAGTTAGGAATTAGTGTGGGACCATAAAAAAGTATGTAAGCTTAGCTGTCATTACTCATTACTTAACTATTTGTAGAAGAGAACTTGCCTGAGTAGTGATTGTTTTCAGTAATCTTTTTAAAATTGCATTTCAGTTGTCATTTACTTTGGTGGACGAAGGGAAGGAGAGAGTTGGAATTGGGCCTGGGCCATCAGTACCAGATTGGCAAGGCATATTGGCTATTTGGAACTTCTCTTCAGACTCATGTTTGTGAACCCACCTGAACTGCCAGAGCAAACTACAAAAGCTTTGCCTGTGAGGTGAGTCAGTCCCTTCATTAAGCAAAACTTTTTTTTTACTTAATAAGGTTGTAATGTATCTTGTTCCAAAAAGTTTTGGTACATTGAATCTTTTATACGAAAAAATAAAAACATGCCAAAATGCATTTGGAAAACAAAACACTTCATAGTGTATCTCTCTCCTATGTACTTTTCTGTAATGAAACCTGTTTAACTTAGATTTACCACAGTTTATTTCTGCATAATCCTTCTTTTCCCTCTTTTGGTTACCTGTAACCATCCTTTGGACTTTTTTTTTTTTCTTAATAGCAGTGTTGGAGATGGAATCCAGGGCTTCATGCCTGGTAGGCTAACACTCTACCATTGTGCTATACTGGCCCTGCTCACACACTTTGAAAAGAGCATTGGATTAAAATGGCACCTTGGCTTATGAGCTCCAGATTGGAGATTTGGAACATCCCTAAATGAGTGTGTAACCTCCGGAAACTCAGCTTGCTTCTCTGAGCTGGTTGTTCCTCATTACTGCAAATATGTTTGCATGTTTGTCTAAAATTATTATTCATAATAAATAGGAAATTCATGGGAAAACAGGGAAGATGAAAAACTTGTTTTTTTTTTTTTTGAAAAACTTTTAAGCCAAAGAATAAAGGAAATGTGTAGGGCTCCAGATGACAGTGAAAAAAAACAAAAGAGAAAACATAGAAAATTAAAACCAAACAAACTTCAATAGGAGTTAGCAAAAATTCAAATGCATTAAATTCTAATAAGGTAAGATATGTGTAATTTAAGAGGAAAATAAATAGATCATGCCATAAAAGGTGTGTATGAGAGAGAAGTAAAGGTAAACATTTACAAGTATAGTTAGCCATCTGTTATCCTCAGGTTTTGCATCGGCGAATTCAACCAATCATAGATTGAAAATATTATTTTAAAAATTGCACCTGTACTGAAAGTGTACAGACTGTTTTCTTTGTCATTTTTCCCGAAGCAGTACAGAGTGACTGCTGTTTATATAGCACTATATTATAATAGGTAAAATATGTGCAAGGATGGGTGTAGTTTATATGCAGATACTTTTTATTTTATATAAGGGACTTGACCTCTTCCTAGAACAGTCCCCCATGAATACAGAGGGGCTCTCGTAATTAACAGGTAAGATTAAGTATTAAGAAAAGGATTTAAAACAGAAGTTTAAAAAGAAAATGTTAAAAGGAAAACATACAGAATAGAGTAAAATAGGCGAAATATTTTTACAGAATATGAGAAAAAAACCACTTTAATGAGTTTGTAGTTTTAAAAAGTTAGAACAACGGTAATAGCATCAGTCAAGACCACAGAATATAATACAGTGTGATCCCAGGTTGTATTTTGAAAGCAGTGCTTTTCTTCTGAATTGAGATGAGAGTTACGTGGAAGGAGAGAAAGGAAGTAATGCTGAAATAATGATTCAGCAGCTCAAGGCACAAATAATTGAGTTATTTTGAAGAAGAATTATGGAAAGAACATTACAACTTTATCTAAATTCATGTTTGATGTTGAAGCTATTAATAAGAATTAGAAAACCTGAGTTTTTAGGGGCTGATAGAGTAGATCAAGTGGTAGAGCACTGCTGACAAGCGTGAGGCCCTGTGTTCAAATCCCAGTAACAGAAAAAGAAAAGAAAAGAGAAATGTTCAAGTTTTTAAATGATGCTATGGGGTTTGCAATTCTTCATGAGTATTATTAATATTTTCTCATGTTAAGAAATCTTGAGGTGGTTTTAGAAAAGTTTCTTTGTGCCACTTTTCTGGTCATATTCTGATACCAAGTGCTGCCACCTTTCATTATTGTTGTTTCCTAAGGGAAGTATGAAGATGTTGAAAGTTAGAAGGCATCTGAGTACAAGTTCTTTCCCTCCTCAGAATTTTAATACAGTATTTCAAAGGAGCATCAAAAATGTAGAGTAAATGATTCAGAAATGACTTACTGTGAAGTTATTTGTTGCTGTAGTTGTTTGAGTAATGTTTTGCTTGGTCTTCCCCCAAGATTTTTGTTTACAGATTACAATAGGCTGTCCAGCGTAGGTGGAGAAACTTCCTTGGCTGAAATGATCGCAACCCTCTCAGATGCTTGTGAGAGAGAGTTTGGCTTTTTGGCAACCAGGCTTTTTCGAGTATTCAAGACTGAAGATACTCAGGGTAGGATTTCCTTCCTTCCTTCTTTGTGTATGTCTACGGGTCGAGGGTTTTCATGAAAACAGGAGTTGATTAACAGAGTCATCAGATGCTGTGACATATTTGATATGTCACTAATTGTTAAAACCGTTTGTTTTCTTACAGGTAAAAAGAAGTGGAAAAAAACTTGCTGTCTGCCATCATTTGTCATCTTCCTTTTTATCTTTGGCTGCATTATTGCTGGAATTACTCTTCTGGCTCTATTCCGAGTTGACCCAAAACATCTGACAGTAAATGCTGTCCTCATCTCAGTTGCGTCTATGGTGGGGTTGGCCTTTGTGCTGAACTTTCGTACATGGTGGCAAGTGTTGGACTCTCTCTTGAATTCTCAAAGAAAACGCCTCCATCACGCTGCTTCCAAATTGCACAAGTTGAAAAGTGAAGGATTCATGAAAGTAAGTTTTTACTGGATAATCGGAAATTGTAATGTGAATTACGGTGTCGCTACCATGTTCGTTAGGCTTTGGTGTTGCTTTTGTTGTGTTTTTGGCATTGCTGGGCGTTGAACCCAAATCCTTGTGCATGCTAGGCAAGCATTCTGAGTTACATCCCCAGTCCTGTTGCGTTTAGTTTAACTTAGTTTATTTTTTATTCAAGTGTACCTTTTAAAAGTCCTTCTAGGTTATAGCAAAATTCAGAGGAATATACGGAAATATCCCAAATATCCCACATTCTTACACAGACCCAGCTCCTTCTGCTGTCAACATCCCTCACCGCAAACTGGGCATGCAGGCTAAGGCTGGAAGATGATGAGTTCCAGGCCTGCTTGGGTAACATAGCGAGTTCCTATCTCAAAACAAAAACAACACAAAAGAAAAAAAGCCACCTCCTCCTGACCCCTGCCGAATTGTCTTCCAAAATGTTTATATCATTATGTGTTCTCAACAGCAGTGAAGGAGAGAGTTCCTTTGTTCCATGTCCTCGTCAGCATTTCGTATCAGCAGTCTAGATTTAAGGATTCTAATAGGTATATAGGGGTATATCACTGTTTCAATTTGCATTTCCCTGATGACATCTGATGTGGAACATCTTTTCTCATGGTTATTTGCCTTCTGTATTATCTTTGGTCAAGTGTCTGTGAAGGTCTTTAAAAAATGACATATATAAGACATATCCCAAACTTTCCTTACTTTGAAGTCTGTCCTGTCTGAGATGAATATAGCTACTTCCACTCTCTTCTGATTGTTATTCACATGTCTGTCTTTCATCTGCATCTTCATACTTAAAGGAGATTTCTGTGGATAACATAAAATTGGTCCTTTTTAAATCTACTGTAACATCTTTGCCTTTTAATTGGTGCATTTAGACCATTGGCAGACAGTGAATATGGACATACATGGATTAGTATGTAACATATGTGTTACTGTTTTCATTTGATACTTGTTATGTGTTCTTGTATGTCTTCAGCTTCTTTTTCTGCTTTTTGTGTTTTTTATTTCAACATTTCATATAATTTTGTTTTCTCACTTTTGTAGTGTATCATTATGTATATTTTACTTTTTTCACTGGCTGCTTTAGAGTTTGCAGTATACATTTGTAACTATTCCAATCCCACTTTCCATAGTACTGTGCCAGTTCAGGAATAGTGTGATTCTCTTAACAAGTAATCTTAATTCTTCCTCCCATCCCCTGTAGCCTTGCTTGTTCATTTCACTTATATATATCAGTATATACCTATAACATATATTTACACACAAATACGTGTGCATAATCGAGTGGTTACTTCCTATTTGCTTATTTGCTGACCTGAAGACCTGAAGCTGCTGCATTTACTATTAGTTTTTCCTGTGTATTTTCCTGTGGATATACATGTTGGATTGAGGTAAGTTATTAGTTGTCTGTTTTATGTAAAATAGACTTTTATAAATTACTCAAAGTAATTAGCAGAGTATTCCACAAATGCAAGTCACCACCACCTAGTAACATGGTTCCTCGAGAGCCTGGCTCCACCAAGCAGGCTCATTTTAAAATGTGGCAAGTTTGCGAGCACTACTGCAGAATGAAGGCCATTCTCAGCCATCGCATGGCCAGCATTCCAGCAAATGTGCACATTACCGTCACACAAGTGCTCCAGAGGAACCCTGTGCTCATCAAGGATTTCAGGACTTCAGCATGATGGAACTCGGCCTCCTCAGGAAGAAGAGGCTCAGGGTTGACGTGCTGGGAAAATGGAAAGGAACTGGCTCCCATTCCCACTGTCTGTAGTCATGCACAGAACATGCTAAGGGTGTTACACTGGGCTTCCATTACAAGATGAGGTCTGTGTATGCTTATTTCCCCATGAGCACCATTATTCAGTAGAATGTGTCTCTTGTTGAAATCACAAATTTCCTTGGTGAAAAATACACCTGCAGGGTGCGTATGAAGACATGTGTTGCTTGTTCAGTATCTCAAGCCCAGAAAGATGAGTTACTCCTCAATGAAATGATTTTGAACTTGTTTCCAATTCAGCCGCTTTGTTTTTTTTTTTTTTCATTTTTCTTTTATTATTCATATGTGCATACAAGGATTGGTTCATTTCTCCCCACTGCCCCCACCCCCTCCCTTACCACCCACTCCGCCCCCTCCCTCTCCCCCCCCCAATACCCAGCAGAAACTATTTTGCCCTTATTTCTAATTTTGTTGTAGAGAGAGTATAAGCAATAATAGGAAGGAACAAGAGTTTTTGCTGGTTGAGATAAGGATAGCTATACAGGGCATTGACTCACATTGATTTCCTGTGCATGGGTGTTACCTTCTAGGTTAATTTTTTTTGATCTAACCTTTTCTCTAGTTCCTGTTCCCCTTTTCCTATTGTCCTCAGTTGCTTTAAGGTATCTGCTTTAGTTTCTCTGCGTTAAGGGCAACAAATGCTAGCTAGTTTTTTAGGTGTCTTACCTATCCTCATCCCTCCCTTGTGTGCTCTCGCTTTTATCATGTGCTCATAGTCCAGTCCCCTTGTTGTGTTTGCCCTTGATCTAATGTCCACATATGAGGGAGAACATACGATTTTTGGTTTTTTGAGCCAGGCTAACCTCACTCAGAATGATGTTCTCCAATTCCATCCATTTACCAGCGAATGATAACATTTCGTTCTTCTTCATGGCTGCATAAAATTCCATTGTGTATAGATACCACATTTTCTTAATCCATTCGTCAGTGGTGGGACATCTTGGCTGTTTCCATAACTTGCCAATTCAGCCACTTTGATTCAGCAAGACACAACAGTTAAAAACAAGGATATTAGAAAAATTTGAGGTGGTATCTATGTTTCTGAAAAAGGGATAAGTTCAGCAGGCTGGTGAGTAAGGTGTAAGTTAAACCAGCTACAGAAATTACAATCCAGTATTATAATACCAATGTATGATACTTCTACCGAAAAAATGTTTTTAAAGAAGCAAGTTGAAGGTTGACCTTGGTGGCACGTGCCTGCAGTTCTAGGTATTTGGCAGGCAGCGGTAGGAGGATTGTGGCCTAAGGGTGGCCTGGGCAAAAGCCTGAGACTCCATCTGAAAAATTATAAATGAAACAAGGGACTGAACTAGAGGGACTGAACTAGCACCCTGCCTCTCAAGTGGCTCCCAATATCACAGAGACAGAGAGAGAGGGGAGGGGGAGGGAGGGAGAGAGAGAGAGAGAGAGATGGAGATGGAGAGAGGGAGAGAGGAGAGAGAAGAAAGAAGAAGGAGAAGGGAAGGAGAAGGGAGAAGGTCTAGTAAGTTAAAATTAAACTACCAAAATATGAAGTAGGAAGATGCTTTTTTTGGGCAGGTTGTGCCATGGATTGAACTTGGATTTTCACAAATTCTAAATGCTAGGAAACACTTAACCAAGTCTTACTTCTAGACCCAAATCAAACTTTTTCACCCTAAATGGATTCATAGAATTCTGAAGCCCCTTCCTTTGATCAAGGTCAGATGTCACCAGGTAGCTAACAGTAGTGTGAAATCATTAGATCTTTTGGATTTGTGTTCTGATCAAGTGTCTTGGCATTCAGAGCTTATGATTTCAGCAAGTAAGTCACTCAATCCAGTTTGTCTTTTTAAAAAATGATATAACAGTGTCTACTTGATAGTGCCTGTGGGAAGGTTAAGTTTCCATGTCGTTGCTTTGTAAAGTGTGAAACAGTGGGTACAGTTTTGAATGGAACCACAGCTGGTAGCGAGGACTTTGAGTTAGTATTCCTCCAATAGATAACTTTTGTCATAGTTTTCAAGAAATGTGTTTAACCTTCTCATGTCTCCTGTGCTTCCTGCAGGTTCTGAAGTGTGAAGTGGAGTTGATGGCCAGGATGGCAAAAGCCATCGACAGCTTCACTCAGAATCAGACAAGACTGGTGGTCATCATTGACGGCTTAGATGCCTGCGAGCAGGACAAAGTCCTTCAGATGCTGGACACTGTACGTTTCAACCGTCGTGAAACTTGTCATTGTCACTGTGTGGCAATGGACGGATGCATGAGTTCACAGAATACTTTGGAATGGAAACTGCTTTTTATTTGAGTGGTTCTGGCTTCTCTTGTGATTTTTGTTCTGTAAAAACAACCATTCTTCACATAGAAACATAGCAAGAGTAAATGTTTTGTCATGAAGACTTAGATAGTTTTAGCTTACTGACAGGGTGAGGAAAAAACCAGATGTGGCATTTCTTAAGTCCAGAGTGTGGATCTTGCTTTTCTTTAGATAGTTATGGTTACACTGTGCAGTAACATAGGGAACCCACAGAATTTATAGGAGGGGTTTTTGTTTAAGGGGCATGTCACAGACTGTAAGTTTTGTTATAAGCAGCAGTGGTACACTGGGGAAGAAAGTGTGTCCAGGACCTCCTGTGTACTCAGGAACATTTTTGTGTGTGTTGATCTGACCCCGTGTGTAGGAGAGTATTGTTTTCTTTGCAAGTTTTGTCACTGTCAGATGATGGCAACCCCAGGTGGAGCCATCAGTAAAATTTCTGTTGAGATAGAATAAATTTTGATGGGAAATAATACTACTTCAAAAATATAATCACTAAAGAATAGCACAGATTTAAAAAGTACATCTTCTTATTTTGGGTAACTTAAAATTTATTCACAACCATACAATGTTTTCTACCGCAGGTCCGAATTCTGTTTTCAAAAGGCCCATTTATTGCCATTTTTGCAAGTGATCCACATATTATCATAAAGGCCATTAACCAGAACCTCAATAGCGTGCTTCGCGATTCAAACATAAACGGACATGACTACATGCGCAACATAGTTCACTTGCCCGTTTTCCTCAATAGTCGTGGGCTCAGCAACGCAAGGAAATTTCTTGTGACTTCAGCAGCAAACGGGGACCTGTCATGCTCAGATGCTGCAGGTAACTGCGAAGCTCCCAAAGTCCTTGGGTTTAACGTACTGTGCTTGTTCTTTATGGTGTCTTTCTTTTTACCTTGACAACTACTGTTGGAATTTCACATTGCTTTAATGTCACGTACAACAGTACTTGGTGCAAATGCTGCTCTCTTGATCCCTTCCTTCAGGGATACAGGAAGATGCTGATAGGAGAGTTTCACAGAACAGTCTTGGGGAGATGACAAAACTAGGTAGCAAGACAGCCCTCAACAGACGGGTAAGATGCCATTTGCTTTGCTTTAATTAATTAAATTTTCCATATAGCACTGGGGGTTGAACCAGGGCCTCATGCATGTTAGGCAAACGCTCTACCATTGAGAAACATCCCTGCCTGATTTGTTCTTAGATATATGTTTGTATCGCAGGTATTTTAAAATAGTGTTTTGTAAATACTGTGTGAACCTCTTCAGATAAACATTACGATTGATTTTTCAGGAGTTTCAGAGAATGTCTGTACTTAGAGCCAAAACAACCTTAAATCGAGAGAACAGTCATCTCTGCCTGTGCTGTCCCAGATCCTAGAGCAGTTGAATCAAAACCTCAGAGTGAGCTCACCAAAATGCTTTCATCCACTGTGATCATTCCTGAGCAGGTTGAAATCAGTCAGTTGCCACCATAGCTGTAAGGGAGACAGGACTGTAGTGTGAGAAAACTGGCTTTATCTTCATCCTTGCCCATGTTTGTAGTCTGTGTACTCTTTTTTTCTATACCAACATATTGATTCTGGGCCCTTCCCAGCCACCTTGGGTCTCTTTTCCAGCCCTTTAGTTGTCCCTGTCTGCTTCCCTGTTGCTTCTGTGGGATAAGGGTATGCTCTGCGTTTCTGTCTATTTATGTAACACAGGAAGATGGCCAGTTGCAGGGAACGTGTGGTGATAGTGCCGCTTAGGGGCAGCTAATGTGGTCTAGTATGGGCATTGTCTTTTTTTTGCAGTTGGTACCATTCAATTTGGACATTTTACTTTTTAAAAAATGTATCTTTGGTGACATTTTGATCTTATGCGTTCTATCTTTTATAGGTGTGAGTGCAGAGTAAATATGACCAATGATAATTGATAGCACTAAATTCAGAGGAGTGTATGATTTATCATTTTGAATTTCTCGCCTGGGAGTCTGGACTCTTGGGCACATGTGTTTGCATCCACCTTTCCCATGCACAGGACCTTAGATGAGGATACACATGTTTTTTTCAGGTGGTCCTGTAGTTCGAACTCAGGGTCTCACAGTTGCTAGGCAGGCACTCTCCCACTTGAGCCACTCCAGCAGCCCTGTTTTGTGTTGGTTTTTTTTTTTTTTTTCGAGATAGGGTCTCAGGAACTATTTGCCTGAGCTGGCTATGAAACGAGATCCTCCTGATCCCCTCTTCCCAGTAGTTAGGATTCAGGTGTGAGCCACTGATTCCCAGCTGAGGACACAGCTTAGTTGTGCCTGTTCTCTTATGAACTGGGGTCCCTCATCCCAGTCCACCCCTATAGAGTGTCTAATTCTTATGGAGATGTGAGGATATTGTGAAGTCATTGTCACATACTTTAACCTAAAAATCGTAATGCTGAATCCTTAAAACCAGACAGCAGCTTATTTGCCTCATTTTTTAGGGTTCCTGTAAGTACTGAGTTAGAATGTGATTCTTTTTACACACTCTTCTTACTTCGAATCTGAAAGGCATTGAGATTTCTCTAACTGTGTAACTGCAGATGGCAATGCAGCTGACGGGAAACCAAAGCACCTGATGCAGTTCCTGCTAATACTTCTTTAGAGCTGTGCTGTGAAGTTTCTGCCTCCCAGATGGCAGTAATAGTGAGCTTATTAGCATGTACTCTTCCTGCCTGACTTGTCCTCTGACTTGAAGCGTGGGTTTGCTCTTACTGAGGATGCTCTGTTGCAGGACACATACCGCAGAAGGCAGATACAGAGGACCATCACGCGGCAGATGTCTTTTGATCTCACAAAGTTGCTGGTTACCGAGGACTGGTTCAGTGACATCAGTCCTCAGACCATGAGAAGATTACTCAATATTGTTTCTGTCACAGGTGACTTTTGTTCTTACTATCTGTGGTGGTTAATAAGCTTTATTTTATTTAATTTATATTTTTCGCAGTACTGGGATGGAACCCTGGCACTGTACCACTGGACTACAGCCCAGTCCTGACAATAAGCTTTAAAGTTACCAAAGTAATTTAATTGAAAAACAAAAGCATGTGTTGTGTTCTTATGTTTATGTTGCTGGGTATCAACTTTGTTGATCTCGTGAAGTCAGTGTTAGTTGACCATGAAAGTCAGCCATCACTTTTATACTGTTTTAAAATTTGATTGCTTTTAAATTATTTGCTTCATTTTAGGTTTAAATTTTCTCCACATATAAAGATAATTTATGAATTCATGTAACTGGGTATAACTAATATAAAAGATCAAAATTCAGATTTTATATCCTGCTGTTTTAATTTTCATTTAAGTAAAAACAGTTACAACAAAATTGAGAATTTTTGCCTTGTGACTGAATTCTTTGTATGGAATTCTGGTCTTTACCATGTGGTTACTTAGTTACTAATTAGCATTATAATCATCATATAAATGCTTATAATGTAGCCTGCATGGTATTGGTTGGTACTTTGTGATATTTCCTAGAACTAACTTTCATGTTGTCTACTCTGGCATTTGTGTTTTATACTAAAGGTGGGGTTCATGCTATGAACTGTAGTATAAGTGAGTTTGCATTTAATGTGATATTTCTGACTGTAAACTCTCTTTAAATAAAGTCTCACCCTCACTGTACTTGATTTGATTATGTTTGACAATGAAACTCTCTCATTATATTATCAACAGCATTTATATACTCATTAACAAATATGTAATAAGTGTCTACTTTTTGCCAAGTATTGGTCTGGACATTACAAAGATTAAGTGGTGAGCAGTAAAGTCCTCTTCCCAAATGGGAAGACTGAAAGATACAATGTCATGTAAGGATAAGGAGGATGGAAGGCATGCAGTGAAATGGAGATAGCACTCCCCTTCACAGTCCTGAGTATAAGACTGCCCCATCCTTTCCCCAGAAGAACTTGTCTTGATGCTACCTCTGCTTCTAACCATTGTCCTGTTTCTAAGAAAAGCTCCTTAAAAGTTGACTAGCCCTGTTTCTCATTCTGTTTTCCCTCTGAACCCACTCCAACACTCTTTCACTCTCAGAACTTGAGAAAAATTATATTTTCAGGGTGACCCAGTGGCTTCCATGTTACAGATTCCAGTGGTCAGGTCTCAGTCTTCCTTTGACCCACTAGTACTATTTGACAATGTTTTGTTCACTTCTTCTGTAAATACTTTCTTCCTTTGGATTCCTGAGTGCTGTGCTTACTGGATTTTCCTCTTTGCTTCTATTGGTTACTCTTCATCTCTTCTTACCATTTAGCATTGTAATGCCCTTGGGTACAGTTCCTGGAGCTTTCCTTTTCTATCCAAACCAATGTTTAATTTCCTTTGCCTTTGATGATCATTCTTTAGATTTATACACAGTGCGTTTTCTCACTGCTTTTTAAGCATTTGCTTAAATGTCAGCTTTTCATTGAGACCTTCCAGGACATAAAATGACTCCACTGTTCCCAGTCTGTCTCCCTCTCCTTCTCCCTCTGTCTGTCTCTTTCCCTCTCATATTCTTTGATGTATCCCTTCTCTGCTTTATTTTCCTTCAGAGAATAACCCATTTCTAATAAATTCTGTTATATTCTTTGTTTTCTTGTCTGTCTGTCTCTCAGTAGAATGTGAAATCCACATAACAAGGATTTTTGCTGTCTTGCTATTTTCTCAGTACTGTTATGAATGAATAAGGGAATAGTAAGAACTGATTTTTATATATTTCTTGAGAAGAGCATTCTAAACAGGAGGAACAACAAGTGTGAAGGCTTTGAGGTGGGATTCTAGAACAGCTGGAGGTCAATGTGGTTGGTGCTGGGGGGCAAAAGGGGAGTGATGTCAAAGAGAAAGCCAGTGGCCAGTTCATTTTGGGCCTTCCAGGCCACAAATCCTTATGAAGGAATTTGGATTATACTTAGACATTTTCAGGCACTCTAAAGAGACCCAAGTTAACATCATTTAATAATCGATAGTGGAGATACACATTTAAAAAATAATGATGTTTCCACATTTAGAAACTATATTTCCACATTTTTGAGTAGAAATAAACCATTTTCTTAAGCCATATCTTCAACGTAAGAATTTCTCTAGTGTTAGTCTTTGACTACATAGGAGACTTTTTAAATCGTTAAACCAGAAACGTTTTTATTTTGCTTCATTAAATATAGCTCTGACTGACAGTGAAAGATTTCTTGGTAAAATTTCCATTTTATGTTCTGGTGGTACTGGGATTTGAACTAAGGGCCTCATACTTGCTAGGGAGGCTCTCTACCAGTTGAGCACTCTGCCAGCCCTAAAATTTCCATTTCATAGAAGCTCTTAGTGTCATTGCTTTCATTGCTTAAAAAAAAAAGTATCATGTTGAAAAGGAACTTACAGAGTTTAACCTTTGTATTTTAATGAAATTTCAATAGTTTTCATGATAAATTTTTTCATTCAATTGGATAAAACTAATTGGAAGTATGTAAGTAAATATATTTTATGGGACAGGGCACAGGCAAAGGGCTTGGGTTTGAGCTCTGAGCATGTTATTTACCCTCTTGAAGGCTCCATTCCCATTTATGCAGAAATGTATATTATCTGTAGGAAAGTATGCAAGTAGTTACCACTATTAGAAAAGACATACCATAGATGTAGTAGTATCAAACAAAGTTTGGGTTCTAGAACCAAATTTGATAAGTATTTAGTTGAGTGGATTCTTACTTTAAAACCATGCTTTATTTGTCCAGTGTGCTTCATTTGAAGTTTGTTTATTTTGAAGGAAAAATTAAATAATCTTAGACACCTTCTTTGGGCAAAATTGTCTCTTACTGTTATTTTCTTACCTATAGGCTTGATATATTCTTGAGGTACAAAACTTATTTTGATTCACTCACTCTTTATAAGTAATTTTCCAGTTCTGCATGTAAGTAAGTACCCGTTCTTCGTGACTTGAATCGCTTCTCTTGCCTCAGCCCTCCCTCTGCAGATAAAGTCATGCTCAGTCCTACATAGCTTAGTTCTGGAAGTCACATTAGGAAGATGACCTTCCTTACCTGCTGCTTGTGGATTTGGTACTCAGGTTTTTGTTTTCACGTAGTAGTCGTATTTGTGTATCTGTAGAATAGCCCTTATCTGATAACTTTGTAATTGTCTTTTTAATTTCTTTATCGGTCACAAACTGTCCTCAGTTTTTTTTCAGGTGGAGGCTAGGTCTTCTCTCTCTCTCTTCAGTAACTCGCATAGTGGATGAGTGAATTCTAAAAACTCAGTGTAGGAGGTTTTGAGGTATTCACTACCTTTCTGCAAGCTTCTATTTTGCGGATCAAATGCAGCGATTAAGAGAAGAAGTTTCACTGGTATATTATTATAACCTATGTCCTCAATTCAGTTCTAAAAGTTTTCCTTATCAGCATACGGTTCTAGAAGAAGTGCACTGTCAGTGTTGCAAGCATGTTTTAATGGTTTGTTTTCCATTGTCTGTTCTCTGTTGACCTGTTTGTGCTCTGTTAAGAGAGGATCTACTTGTGAGATTACAATTTATGATTAATTCATTCCATAGGTTTTTTTTTTTGTATGATTTATTCTCTGCTCCCCTGAGTGTATGTAGGCTTCATGAAGGTGAGACTGTATCTTTTTTGTAAAACATTTCATCCCCAGCATTGGTACATTACTGTTTGTGATACCTCTGTGAGTTTTCAAAGCTCTCATATGCTTGTGACTGTAGCTCAGTTGATGGAAGGTAAAACCTTGTCACTGATCTAGCATACTTGATTTCACCTTCTGGGGAAAAGGAATTCAGTGATGAGAGTATAGTTTGCATGTATAAGCAGATTTGCTGAGAAATGAGGGTCTGGCAATGTGGGAGAAATTGGGTGAGGAGTTACACATTCATGTCTATTAGTAGTAGGAAAAAAAAGATAATTCATCTTTGAACCAAAACAAGTAGATATCTTTTATTTTTACTTTTTGGTGACACTGGGATTGAACTCAGGATCGCTCTACACCTGAGCCAGCTTCTATTCCCTTTTGCTCTGTTTATTTTTGAGATGGTGTCTTGTGAACTGTTTGCCCAGGGTGGCCTCAAACTCTGTTCCTCCTGGTTTCAGTCTCCCAAGTAGCTAAGATTGCAGGTGTGAGCCACTGACTCCTGGCACAAGTAGCTGTCTTACTCCAGATACAAACTGAACTGGTAACAATGAAGTGAAACTGACAGTGTTTCAAAATTAAAAAGCAACATATCATTAATTTGTAATCCTTACCAAGTCAAGGTGAAACTCACTGATTATGTAACAAAAGAAGCATTGTTTCTGAAAGTTTGAGGATTGCAGCTGTGCGTATATAAGCATGCCCAGTGATTAGACACTGATTTAGAAACTTCAGAAGCCCCAGAAACAGACAGGGTTGTTTTTTTTTTCAATATATAAATAGCACATTTTAGAAGTATCATAACTTGGTAGGTTAGTAACATGAGCTACTCATAGTACATAAAAATGAAAGCATGTGGGGCTGCACATCACCCATAATAAATCCAGAACAGATCAGCATTTTGGATCTCTTTAAGGTTCACTAATAGAATCTTAGCAGATAGTACTTTAGAGAATTGGGCAGTACCATGGGTGAGTTGATACTGTACTGCATGTCTGTAGGCAGCTTTGAGACTGTGTGATAGACATTTGGAAAGATTGCTGCCTGCATTTATACACTCAAAGAAGTGTATGGCACGAGCAGTCAATCAGGGAAAGTGCATTAGAATGAAACAGAATCATTTTAGTTCCTTAGAATCTTTCCTCACAGGTGTAACTGGCACACGCTGCTGAGCCTTTATCTTTAAATAGAACTTAGGAACTACATAAATACTGGACTTGAATTTGTGGTGCAATCAAGAGTGAACTTTAAAAGATTAAAGTTAAATTACTTGTGATATAGTAAATGTTTTACTGAACATAATTATCACACATCAATTTTTAAAGTTTTGTATTCCTGAAAGGGCGATTACTGAGACCAATCAGATCAGTTTCAACTGGGACAGGCTTGCTAGCTGGATCAACCTCACTGAGCAGTGGCCGTACCGGACTTCATGGCTCATCTTATATTTGGAAGAGACCGAAGGTGTCCCCGACCAAATGACATTAAAAACCATCTATGAAAGGTACTTTCTTTAACTTCTTTGTATATAAGTGCCGCTTGGGTTGAGTTTTGAAGACAACAAAACATGTATAAAGCAAACTGAATATAAAATAATATGTATAAAGTGTGTATTTCTGAATCCAGCTTATCATTCTCATTAATTTTGGTATAATTTTGGAATTGCTATAGCACTGGTATATATTCCTTCACGTAAAACTTAGAGTTTATTTGTACAAGTTTTTCCCTTCTCAGGTGTGTAAAATTTTGAGAGTTTCCAGTTCTTATCACATTCACAAATAAAGTCATAATGCTTTTATTTACCAAACACTGTAATACCTTCAAAAGTTTCAGTTGCTATTATTATAAATAAACTGTTTCTTAGAAAAAAATAATGCAAAGGAACTATACAAACAGTTTATAAAATTGGGTATAATGAAATCTGTTGTTTTAAAATGTAATGAAGTAGTAAACCTAACAAGGTACTTAGTGTATTGTTTATGTATTGAAACTTGTTTAAGATGTGAAATAAGTTTTATTCTCCTGCAGTACTATTAGCATGCGATTTTTCTGATTTTTTAATATTGTTTTAGGTGCATATTTTATTTAGTGCTTTTTTGGTCGTACTGGATTTAGAATTGTTGAGGGTTGTTACAGTATTTGAGAACCAGTTGGGTCTTCCAGGTTTTGCTGTTGAGCTGATGCTGAGTTACATCAGTGGCTTGAGCCTCTGTGCTGTATCCAGTAGGTGTTCCAGTGATACATAATTACCATGGGTTCCTGAGAATGGTTCCAATTTCATCTCTGATCTTTAGGAATCACCTTATTAAAATAACAGTGGGTTTTTCCTTCATTGTATTATTAAATACTAAGCATGATTTGTTGAATAAATCTGCCACAGCTTTTTAATTATGAATGCTTGCTAAAGCACAGTTATCAATAGGCAAAACTTATCAAAAGTTTTATTGCTTAAAAATAAGTCATACTAATTCATAGGTTTTTTTTGCACATGTTCTCTTTATACATAATGGTCTGTTTAATATGAAGAGGCAGCTACATATACAGTCTCATTTATCCTTGAGTAATTGTTATTCTTACTTGTGTGTAAATAAAAATGTCAGAGAAAAGAAAAAGTCTTCCTTAGGCTTCTTCACTTAGGAACTGTGTGCCATTTGAACACACTTTAAAGTGGAGGGGTACTTACGAAAGAGCAGAAGTCATTCGACTCTTAGAATGTGTCGAATTGGTCTTGTTCTAGAGTAATGCATTAGTCTGGGAATAGAGGTCCAGGTTTTATGAAATGTGAAAACTTGGAAGAAAGACAGCTTGCTGTTTCACAGGGTTCTTATTTAATGAGGGTGTGGGTTACTTAGCATCCCCTCCTTTCTTCATTTGCAGAGTACTTTGCCTGGTGCCTCCATATTCTTTTTTTTTTTTTTTCATTTTTCTTTTATTATTCATATGTGCATACAAGGCTTGGTTCATTTCTCCCCCCTGCCCCACCCCCTCCCTTACCACCCACTCCACCCTCCCCTCCCCCCCCTCAATACCCAGCAGAAACTATTTTGCCCTTATTTCTAATTTTGTTGTAGAGAGAGTATAAGCAATAATAGGAAGGAACAAGGGTTTTGCTGGTTGAGATAAGGATAGCTATACAGGGCATTGACTCACATTGATTTCCTGTGCGTGGGTGTTACCTTCTAGGTTAATTCTTTTTGATCTAACCTTTTCTCTAGTTCCTGGTCCCTTTTCCTATTGGCCTCAGTTGCTTTAAGGTATCTGCTTTAGTTTCTCTGCGTTAAGGGCAACAAATGCTAGCTAGTTTTTTAGGTGTCTTACCTATCCTCACCCCTCCCTTGTGTGCTCTCGCTTTTATCATGTGCTCATAGTCCAATCCCCTTGTTGTGTTTGCCCTTGATCTAATGTCCACATATGAGGGAGAACATACGATTTTTGGTCTTTTGGGCCAGGCTAACCTCACTCAGAATGATGTTCTCCAATTCCATCCATTTACCAGCGAATGATAACATTTCGTTCTTCTTCATGGCTGCATAAAATTCCATTGTGTATAGATACCACATTTTCTTAATCCATTCGTCAGTGCTGGGGCATCTTGGCTGTTTCCATAACTTGGCTATTGTGAATAGTGCCGCAATAAACATGGGTGTGCAGGTGCCTCTGGAGTAACAGTCTTTTGGGTATATCCCCAAGAGTGGTATTGCTGGATCAAATGGTAGATCGATGTCCAGCTTTTTAAGTAGCCTCCAAATTTTTTCCAGAGTGGTTGTACTAGTCTACATTCCCACCAACAGTGTAAGAGGGTTCCTTTTTCCCCGCATCCTCGCCAACACCTGTTGTTGGTGGTGTTGCTGATGATGGCTATTCTAACAGGGGTGAGGTGGAATCTTAGTGTGGTTTTAATTTGCATTTCCTTTATTGCTAGAGATGGTGAGCATTTTTTCATGTGTTTTCTGGCCATTTGAATTTCTTCTTTTGAGAAAGTTCTGTTTAGTTCACTTGCCCATTTCTTTATTGGTTCATTAGTTTTGGGAGAATTTAGTTTTTTAAGTTCCCTGTATATTCTGGTTATCAGTCCTTTGTCTGATGTATATTGGCAAATATTTTCTCCCACTCTGTGGGTGTTCTCTTCAGTTTAGAGACCATTTCTTTTGATGAACAGAAGCTTTTTAGTTTTATGAGGTCCCATTTATCTATGCTATCTCTTAGTTGCTGTGCTGCTGGGTTTCATTGAGAAAGTTCTTACCTATACCTACTAACTCCAGAGTATTTCCTACTCTTTCTTGTATCAACTTAGAGTTTGGGGTCTGATATTAAGATCCTTGATCCATTTTGAGTTAATCTTGGTATAGGGTGATATACATGGATCTAGTTTCAGTTTTTTGCAGACTGCTAACCAGTTTTCCCAGCAGTTTTTGTTGAAGAGGCTGCTATTTCTCCATCGTATATTTTTAGCTCCTTTGTCAAAGATAAGTTGCTTATAGTTGTGTGGCTTCATATCTGGGTCCTCTATTCTGTTCCACTGGTCTTCATGTCTGTTTTTGTGCCAGTACCATGCTGTTTTTATTGTTATTGCTTTGTAATATAGTTTGAAGTCAGGTATTGTGATACCTCCTGCATTGTTCTTTTGACTGAGTATTGCCTTGGCTATTCGTGGCCTCTTGTGTTTCCATATAAATTTACAGTAGATTTTTCAATCTCTTTAATGAATGTCATTGGAATTTTGATGGGAATTGCATTAAACATGTAGATTACTTTTGGGAGTATCGACATTTTTACTATGTTGATTCTACCAATCCATGAGCATGGGAGATCTCTCCACTTTCTATAGTCTTCCTCAATCTCTTTCTTCAGAAGTGTATAGTTTTCCTTGTAGAGGTCTTTCACATCTTTTGTTAGGTTTACACCTAGGTATTTGATTTTTTTTGAGGCTATTGTAAATGGAATTGTTTTCATACATTCTTTTTCCGTTTGCTCATTGTTAGTGTATAGAAATGCTAATGATTTTTCTATGTTGATTTTATATCCTGCTACCTTGCTATAGCTATTGATGATGTCTAGAAGCTTCTGAGTAGAGTTTTTGGGTCTTTAAGGTATAGGATCATGTCGTCTGCAAATAGGGATATTTTGACAGTTTCTTTACCTATTTGTATTCCTTTTATTCCTTCTTCTTGCCTAATTGCTCTGGCTAGGAATTCCAGTACTATGTTGAATAGGAGTGGAGATAGTGGGCATCCTTGTCTGGTTCCTGATTTTAGAGGGAATGGTTTTAGTTTTTCTCCGTTAAGTATAATGCTGGCTGTAGGTTTGTCATATATAGCTTTTATAATGTTGAGGAACTTTCCTTCTATTCCTAGTTTTCTTAGAGCTTTTATCATGAAATGATGTTGGATCTTATCAAAGGCTTTTTCTGCATCTATTGAGATGATCAAGTGGTTTTTGTCTTTGCTTCTGTTAATGTGGTTTATTACGTTTATTGATTTTCGTATGTTGAACCACCCCTGCATCCCTGGGATGAAGCCTACTGGTCGTGGTGAATAATCTTTTTGATGTGTTGCTGAATTCGGTTTGCCATTATTTTGTTGAGGATTTTTGCATCAATGTTCATTAAGGAGATTGGCCTATAGTTCTCCTTTTTGGAGGTGTCTTTGCCTGGTTTTGGGATAAGTGTAATACTGGCTTCATAAAATGTGTTTGGCAGTTTTCCTTCCCTTTCTATTTCATGGAACAGTTTAAGGAGGGTTGGTATCAGTTCTTCTTTAAAGGTCTGATAGAATTCAGCAGAGAATCCATCAGGTCCTGGACTTTTCTTTTTGGGGAGACTCTTGATTGCTGCTTCAATTTCATTTTGTGTTATAGGTCTATTCAGGTGATTAATTTCCTCTTGGTTCAGTTTTGGATGATCATATGTATCTAGAAATCTGTCCATTTCTTTAGATTTTCAAATTTATTTGAATATAGGTTCTCAAAGTAGTCTCTGATGATTTCCTGGACTTCCATGGTGTTTGTTGTTATCTCCCCTTTTGCATTCCTGATTCTACTAATTTGGGTTTTTTCTCTCCTCATTTTAGTCAGGTTTGCCAGGGGTCTATCGATCTTGTTTATTTTTTCAAAGAACCAACTTTTTGTTTCATTAATTCTTTGTATGGTTTTTTTGGTTTCTATTTCGTTGATTTCAGCTCTTATTTTTATTATTTCTCTCCTTCTATTTGTTTTGGGATTTGCTTGTTCTTGTTTTTCTAGGAGTTTGAGATGTATCATTAGGTCATTGATTTGGGATCTTTCAATCTTTTTAATATATGCACTCATGGCTATAAACTTTCCTCTCAAGACTGCCTTAGCTGTGTCCCATAGGTTCGGTAGGTTGTGTTTTCATTTTCATTGACTTCCAGGAACTTTTTAATTTCCTCTTTTATTGCATCGATGATCCATTCTTCATTAAGTAATGAGTTATTTAGTTTCCAGCTGTTTGCATGTTTTTTGTCTTTACTTTTGTTGTTGAGTTCT